TTCGAACCCTCGTAATGTTATTTTTCTTACCAACGACAAGTCTTGAAACTTTATCTTAATCATATTACAATGTATATAAGGAAAATTAGTAAATCTCAAATAAATTTTCCAGAAATACGAATGAAACACCTACTATGCATTTTCAAATTCAAATTTCATCAACAAACACATTTTTAGAAACAAAATTCATAGTTTTTCAGGTTTTTGCAGAAAGTGCATAATTATTATAAATATAAGGTACTTAAGTTTCTTCCATTCACTTCGATCATTTTATAATGCATAGCGTAATTAGATTTTCATTTAACTGCAAAGCACCATAAATTATTTCTAATGTCATATCATGCTAATACACATTGGAATCTATCGTTAAATTAAAAGAACTTCGATTTCTTTAAGTTTGAAATTTTAGAATACTTTCTTGAGGTAAAAATTTCGACATTTTTAAAGACCGTTCCGAGATCTTCAGAGAACCTTGAATCACATTTAGAGGTAAAAAAAAATGAAAATAATTGCATGAAAAGATTTTATTTTTTAAGCTTCATTTTGAGACTTTTATCAGGTTATCAATTAAAGAGTTATCCTTCCTGGCTAAGGATCGGAGTACTTGAAGCGAAATTAGTTTTCATGTTATCGCGCTCATTTAGTGAAAGCATGTAAAAAAAATATTGAATTAAAACTAATCATTGAATACATGTTACATGTACAAGCATATGTTTAGTGAAGTATCCATGAACCTTTGGTAGGTAATTCATGGATTAATAGATCTACCGTGCAAAATATATCTCCATTAATTTGAAATTGGGTTAATTGTAATGCTTCATAGAGGATCGTTCATTTCGATAGATAGGCACTCCAGAAAACAATGTTAAATAATATATAAGACACAGGGAAAACAATTCGTGAAATTCTGTCCACACGACGAGCTCTTTCCATAAAATATTCAGGACAAATTTCTTTATCGTTGGTTTCACCATTCTTATCTTTCTTCTCGCTTTTCTAAAAAGAATTACATGATAATTTATTACAAATACATTAATCTTCAGTACTTTGATTTTTCTTTCATATGGATTTGACCCGAGTGAAAAGTAGTTTTGCAGACAAGCAATACAGGTATTTTCTTTTAATTTTACCAGTTCATATTATAGTTTTAAATATCTAAACATACGATTATATTAAACTTTAATAATATAATATGTTGTACGATACATGATTAGTTATATGATGTATCGTCAACTTTCCTTACTTATGTAGCAATGTATCCTTAATACCTGAGTCTTCTATGAGTAAAAAATTCTCAAAAGGGACCTTAAACAACAAAAAATATACTGTCAAATCACTTATTTTCGTGGGAGCTTTATTTTCGTTGTTTTCGATATATGGATCCACGAATTTATAACCACAACAATGTAAAATTTCCTATGAAACATTTCCAACCACAAAATCAAATCCCCACAAACCAATATTTTTCCTCAAGCCTTGAAAATTTGACCAACGAAAATATGTGATTTTAAAGTAATCCTTTTGCACCGGCATATGAACTTAATGTCTCAGTTGGTTCGATACCCAAGAACATAGATTGTATAAATAATTTTTAAGAATGCAAGATATCTACATAAAAGTTGATAAAACAAGGATATCAACAGTCTTGATTGAAACCATCATTTCTCAAGTTATGTGGTCGCTATACATGTATATACAATGAAAATGTCAGCAAATGACTTTTTTCATTCTAAATATGAGGTCATAATTACACGCTTAATAATCTACAGATTTAAAATTTTCCATTTTTCCTGATCATGTCAAGAAGCACAAGGCGGATGCGACCGGTCGATAGGAGTGTTCATTATTTAATGGTACCTGATACATGTATCACCTTAAACGTTTTTGAGGTCCTTGCTTGCTCTGCTCCAGATTTATATTTTTTTAATGAATTTTGAGCTTGCATACTATTCGTTATCTCCATATGTCTTATAAACATAACATGTATGATACGATAAGTAAACCGTTGACGAAACATTTATGTTCTAAATTTTTAATGATCATGTAAAATTAATGATAAATTTGAATTAAAACTAGGTTAACCGTTTCTACCTTGACCTGCTTGTGATGTTTTCTAGTCTGAACGTTAACATAAGCGTATTCGAGTAGCGCCGCAAATACAAACAAGAGCCCAAATGCCATCCAGACATCTATTGCCTTAATGTAGGAAACACGTGGAAGAAAATTCCGGACACCAGCACTTTGCGTTGTCATGGTAAGCACACAAATAACCCCGAGCGAGACTCTCGCGGGAACAGCATCAACGTGAATCCAAAAAGAGATCCAGGAGAGAGTGACGATAAGAATGCTGGGAATGAACACTTGTGACATGTAATATCCCAGGTTTCGTCGGAGATATAATTTAGCCTGAAGTCCAGAGAACTCAACATCTGAAAAATTAACAGACTCTAAATTGTTTGATGAAACAGAGAGAGAGCATAATTCTAATTTTATTGGTCTGTGTCTGTTCGGTTCCGATTACTCTTTAAAATGGATTTTTGAGCTTGTATTGCGTTATCTATCCATTTTTTCATTGTTTAAATGCATTTTGAAATAGATTTTTTGCGTTATCTCCATATTCATGTTTTGAAAATTTAAAAGCAAAAAGCTAAATTCGTTTTAACTTTGAAACTTCAAAAATACAGAATACATATGTTATCAATTATACGTCTTGTTTTTTTTCTGGTTAGAAATAAAATGCTGTCTTACATTAAGATACCAACAGTATCAAGTCAATATCACTTAAATATATATTTCAGAGTGAGATATTCAGAATGCTTTTCCAAATGCAAAGGACCTTAAACCGTAATATTAATTCATGAAGTGTTACATTGGTACATACTAGATGGGTTGACGATGGAGTACTTGAGAGTTTCTACTGGCTTGTGCTGATAAAACTGTGGTAAAGAGTACTCATCGTCTGTTGTTTGAATTATGAAGGAATTCTTCGGCTCCCACATTAAATGCACGTTATCAATAGAATATCCATCTACAAGTTAATATAATTTGTGAGGTAAATATGTAGATTTGTTTGATATTGTACTTGTTCAAAGACCAAATCATGCAAACAAATGGAAGATATTTTCATTTTTTTCAATTTCGGTGATTTCGTTACTTGCTTGCTTCCAAAACTTAAAAAAAATAGAATAGAATTTAAGCGGAACAAAATCGTGCTTTCACACATTGACAAAAGCATCACGTATTCAAATCAAAGCATAGCGATATCTATACTTCTCAAAAAAATATGATTTAATTATTTTTTTCAAATTCATCTATTTCTACTACATGTATTTTGAATTTGAATATTAAACACTTTGTCTTATATCTGCATGTACTCACAACTTTCTGCTAAAATAGAACAAATTTGGTCATCCATAGGAAAAAATCTCAGATCCATCGTGCAAGAGAGTGTTAAGGATACTCTAATAAAAACGAAAGAGGAATGCATCATTGTCAAATTAGTTAATGCTGCAAAGTAATCAACAAGTTCGTTAAAAGTCAACATTTCGCAAATTCTATGTCAGACAAAATTAATTTGTCTGCAAATACAATCTTTTATCACTTTGTGTCATATGCATTATCTTTACACTTAATATTGTATGGATACTCAATTTTATCCGATCATGACAAGGGACCCAGATATACTAAGAGTGCTTACTCCTCATTGGCACCGAATCCCACCTAATTTCACATGTCCTTAATGTTCTTTGCATAGACGTTTTATTGTTTAATGGACTTTTAAGCATTGTCATTGTTTGTAAATTTACCATTTCATATGCATAAATTTTTTCACATTAATTGTTCTTGTGAGTATTAGCTATTCAAGAGTTCTTTTCTGTTTCAATTGAATCAAAGCATTTCAGCAATGTTTGAACCTTTGATGAAGTCTGATTGAATACTAATCAATTTGAAAAAAGGTAGTTAAGAAGGAATTCATTATATTTTTACACTGACATAATTTATACCGTAAATACCAATGTACTGAAGAAACAAACATGTACACATATCTCTTACAGTAGGATCAATACTAATAAACGCCTTTAATAATTATTAAATCAAATTATATCTTTGAAAATAATGGCACTAAAACTCTAAAATAAACTGAATTCAAACCTGATGCTGTATCTGACACGGCCATCATTAGTTATATGGAGAAGTTTGTTTGGGACAGTGATTGCGTGTAAAGTAGCTGTTTTTTCGTTTCTGAAAAACGTATCGGGGAGCCAGACATCGCTCATCCGCCTGTGGTCCAGTTCCAACATGCTGATATTGCTGAGGTGAGAAAAATTTAGGCGCGGATCTATCCAAGTTTGTCGAAGAATGGCGTTGAGTGTGTAATCCTGTTATGATATTGAATATTCACTTGAAATTTTGTTAAATATGAATTCATCAAAAAATAGTTTTAATCGCTAACACTTTACTAAATTTTCAACGGTTGAGAATAATTTTTGCAATCGCGTTTCCGGAATTATTTTTTTTTATAAACAGTGATATGATAAATGAAAAAACACTGAAAGTTAAATATCAACATCATAAAAAAGAAAAACCCATTGTGTTTTGTAACCCAAACCAGACGTTTCGCAAATGTTATATATTTTTTTTTTTACAAAAACTATATAAAGAATTATGCTTTTAAAAATTTACATAAGTGCATTAAAAACCGGGTAAATATAATCAATTGTAACAAACTGCTTACCATCGATACTTCATTAATTGAGTCGATACTTATAACCGACAGCTGGACATGAACTCTTGTTGCCTCATCTATGATTCAAGATAGAGTTCAGTGAGTTAAAAGTTCAGCAATGTGTCATACGTATACCTCTAGCAAATAATTTAAATTTTAATCGTTGAAATTTTTCTTTGAAAAACTTTTGAAAACTCAAACTAAATTGCAGTGAAAATAATTTATTTAAATACGATGTGCCATTATGACTTTCATTTAGACCTTTGAAATGACTTAAAGTTAATATTGGTTAAAAATATAACAACGTAAATGAAAAAATACTGATAATTACATGTAAGCTACTTCAACGCATAAACTGCTGTTCAACTTGATCATGACATGAAGACATATTCATGCATGTATATCATAAAGTAATTAAAAATCCACTAAAAAATTATTCTTCCTATTAAAACATTCATAATTTCCTGTAAAACACACTTTTTTATATTACGCAATAGACATATTTTGTATAATTATGAAAAGAACATAAGTGACTTTTGGCAGGAAATAATTATAAGAAAAATATTTTCTTTTTTTGTGTTAATTTTTCCTTTTCAATTTTTGATTTTTCATACTTAGATTTTTATGCCCCAATAAGGAAGATTCGAGGTTATGTAGTTTTTGCCCTGTCCGTCCATCTGTCTCTTTTTTCATTTATTCGCATAAACTTTAGAATTGTTAATAACTATTGAACGGGTAGAGGTATAGCTTTCATGTTTCATAGGTGAATTCCTTGTTACAAGACCTATCTTTGGGTAGCACCTAATTTGATCTTTTGGCCTTGGTATTTGACTTTTACAAAAAATATATCACTTGGCCATAACTTCTTGAATAGTTGGTACGAGAACTTTCATACTTCACATGTCAAACCATTATGAAAAGACCATTCAGAGGGTGCAAATATTTTTAACCTTTAGACATTTTGATTTTGACCTGTGAGGTTGACCAACTTATTAAAAATTGTAGACTTGATCATAAATTTTAAACAATAAGAACTAGGTCTTTTATATTTCACAGGTGTACACATGTATTCCTTGTGCCAATTGTGATAAGACCAATATTTTTACCTTGACCTTTGGAGTTTGATTTGCATTTAAGAACCCCAAACCCGCCATAAGCTGCCATACAGGTGCATCAAACCCTTTTCCACAAACAGTTATTGTTAACTGTATATTTGACAATTAAATGCTTTAATTTGCTTGTACTCTTCATCAAATTGAAACAAGAGATGCCTTTATCACTAAATAAAGTCAAGTTTTTAAATAGAGGCAGTTTTTTTTTAATCTTACAAATAAACATACCTCCCCCCCCCCCCCAAAAAAAAATTGCACCTAATACGATAAATCCCTCGAATTGGACATATTTGTGTAATTAAACACGTATACTTCTCTCAAAATCAGGTGCAATTCTTGGGTCATATTCTGTTGTGTTCAGCAGGGTATTTAATATGTCTCTCCTGAAATGGAATTTCAGAGATTAATTTTTCGACAAAGATGACACATTAAAATCCTTTGATAAGAAAATGTATTTGAATTTTTTCAAAGAAGTATTTCTATTCATAATGCAGTTGCATATGTTTGGATATTTCTAAAACAAGGTTTTACTTTAAGTCTGACTCAACATCTTTTAGTGGATATGCACTCAACATGTTTAATTTTAAAAGTTGCAAAAATACGAAGGCTGTGTCTCTGCATACGGAATTTATATCTCTCAGTTGATTCGATACGCAAGGGCATGTTCTACGAATGAACAATTTCTAAAACTAGGTAAATTATTGACAAACAAGTTGATAAAACAAGAATACCAGAAGCATTGTTTAAAGGCATCATTTCGTAAATTATATGGTCGATACAGTGACATTGTCAGCAATTACATTTTATCGAGGAATTTGCTGTCTGTCGTTTTTCATACTAATTGTTAGTCTATTACTAGTATTTATATACTATATACGGATTTTTCCGTTATTTCCCGATCATGACAAGGAGCACACGGCGGGTGTGACGAATCGACAGGGGATGCTCATGCACTCCTCTATGGTACCTGATCCCACCTCTGATGTTTTGGAGTTATGAGTTTTCTCTGTCCCTATTTTGTTTTGTTTTATGGATTTTTCTCATCTTGAATACTGTTCTGATCGGTATCGCCATCTGTTTCATTTCAAAATAACAGTGTGCATTGAATTTCCCAAATATTTTCTGATATGCAGCAGAAAATGTAGCTGCAATTATTTAGTAAAAGAGCTTTCCTGCATTTCTTTAATATTTTCATATTTAATTTCAACATTCTTCATGTAAGCTTATTTAATACTAAATACCAATTAATTCGATGCACGAAAATTTATATATCGAAATATACAACTCCTCATTTAATATCTTCCTCAAGTTTCTTGATCTATCCTAATAAAGATTGACATGCCTCATGTACTGAGCCGTGATGAAGAGGAAAACAGAGAAATTTGTATATTTAGAATATAATGATGTTGATTGCAACTGCCATTCATTGCAATGAAACAACAAACCACACACACCTCTCACTGCAAGCTGTTCACGCGTTATTTGGAGCTGTGCTGTGGTTTTAAAATCCCTAATTAATCTATGTCTTACACTGAATATTTTTCAGATTTTCTCATAATTGATTCAACCTAAATTTCACATTCGACTTTTATCTGTGGAAATCGAGAAATATACAAAGCCCCAATAACAGACTTAGTACACAAAATGGTTCAAACGGAGAAAAAAATATGTTTTTTTACATTAAAATTTACTGTGTTTATGTACAGTGTACATTCTAATACAGACTCATTAATAAGCATGTTATCATTGAGGAAAAAATTAAACAGTAATTAATGAACATTGACTTACCTTTTCATTGGTTGGATACAAACCAGGTTTACCATCAAGAAAATAATAGTCAAAGAAGTATGATGCTTATTCTTCATTTCTTCTTGCATGAAAATTCTGTCTGAGGAAGTTGGCGCGTAATATTAGAGATTTAAAGAGCTTCCTTAAGTTTGCGCGATGGGAAGGTATCAGAGACATGCACGCGAAATATATAAAACGATAATATGAGGAAGAAAATCAAGGAAATTTTCACAATACACAAGAAATCAAATTGATTTTATCAATTATTATAAAAACATAAATACTTAAACTACTAGTATTCAATTTCTAATTCAATACATCAAAAGTCATTTTAAAAAATCATTTTGATGAGCATGTATTCGTTTTTTTATTTGCCAATCAGTTGAATAGCGAACACAAAATCAACACAGTTTCAATTCACTTGAGTCATTTATGTCCATTTCCTGAAAACAAACTAAAGGGACCTCTTGCGGTTTGAGGTCACACATCAGAGCTCAAACGTGATGTGGGTGCCACTGAATGTATTGAACAACATACAATAATGGTCTACACTATGACAATTAAAAGTGGGAATCAATAATTCATCAATCTGATTGTTTGGAACTATATATCTTAAGACACCCAGTTTGATAATCTAAGAGAAGGGTAGAGGAACGAAAAAAAAACCGTTTGCCAAAGCCTCTTTTCCATAGAATGAAATATTATATTAATATTGCTTGTTGTTGAGAGTATCATTGAAAACATTTCCCAAGTAAACCATTGTCAACAGAGGTGGAACCGAAGGTACAACTTCATCATTCAGAGTGCAATAGTGTTTCTCGACGAATCAGATTCATCTTATTTACATGAAAGTATAATACAAAGTATATGGAGATAAAGAAAAGCATAGGAGCAGAGCAAACACAGACCTCCAAAACATCAGAGTTGGGATCAGGTGCAATGGAGGAGTGAGCATCCCCTGCCAGTTGGTCACAACCGCCATGTCTTCATAGTCATAACCAGGAAATAACGGAAAATCATTAAAAATTTGGTGTCATATAATTGCCTAACAAATAGTATGAAAAGTGCCAGTCAGTTTTTGACTTAATGATGAATTGTTGACAAGGTCGTTGTTTCGACCATGAATTTACAAAATGATAACTTGAAACAAACATGCTGATATTTTTGTTTCAGTTTTCTTTGACAATTTCTAGATACGTTTTTAAAATTGTTCATGCGTAGAACACGCTCTTGTGTATAAAATCAACTGATAGATATAAACCCCGTATGCAGGTGATAAAGGTATACTGCTGCATAAGTATAAGGGAAGTTGATGATTGAAATGTTAAAGTCATTGCGTTTATCATAGAGCTTGGTTGTAAGATTACGTAATGATTAACGTTCTTTTCCAAGTAAAATATCGAAATATGAAACAGATGTGTCAGACGTTGTGATGTCTTTCATCTCAAGCTCATCGAGATAAGAATGGAAATAACCATTGTTGATAGACGATACGTCGCTGATAAATCTAAATGTTGAATTAAAGGCCATAGCAAGTGTTTTCTTCTTTTATTTTCATATTTAAGATTTTTGACAAATTCTGCTTTGTATGAATAAAAAGTACGTGCTGATAAAAGGGCGCAATTGGTACCCATGAAAAAAGATTTTTGGAAGACGTGGTCTCCAAAAACCACATAGATATTGTCAATAAGAAACTCGAGCATATTTTTAATATCAACGTCAGAGTACTTGTGTGTACAATCAGAATAATTTCGCAAATGATCAATGACAAGGTAAATAAATTAACAAGTTCCATTTTTATTGAAAAAACATCTGTAAATGATATCAAAAAGCCTGGACTTTTATTTATCGCCGGGAATAGTTAGTATATAAAGTTGAAAAGATTTTATTTTGTTGACTTTGGAAAAATTTTTGTGTTTTCAAATGTTCCAAGTGTTCCCTGGAACTTTTAGCGGCGTTGAAAGGGTGCTGTGTCAACTATTACGATTTGTTCTTATCCTTTTTTTTCCTCATTTCCTCATACTCGTATAAGGGACAATGGGTAGTACACGTTCTTTGTTATATTGTTCTAGTATTGAAAATTTGAATTCAATGGTTAATTTACTAAAGGAATTTAATGAAAAGATCAGGAAGTATGCAAAATTTAGATACATAAGGAAATTAAAATCAGCCATTAGAATTTCCAATACGGCAAGGAAACATTCTTAATATTTTCCTATATCTATTACACTTAGTTCTATATCTGCACTATTAGAAATTATAATGACATAATTAAGTCTTTTTCAATAAATTCGGATAAACGTTGAAAAAACGGGATATATTTTTTCAAGGCAACAGTTCCGGATGATACACTGTATTTGATCAAGGTCATCATAATAATCACCAGGGGACAGTTTTACGTATAGTTACACCTCGTATATCTTGGTGAGGGGACCATATGAGTGTAAATATTCGAAACGATCTTCACGATTTAAAATTAACTCTGAAAAATAACCCTTTAAAGTCTTTTTAATAGCAATTTTGGGGACGGCAGTTTTTTCATACAATTTTATTAAAAGTTTTATTATAAATTGATCTTTTTTCTTTGATTAAATGCTGGAAATATGTATCCCATTCTTATTCAAAAAGGATTAATTGCCAAAATGCCACTGTTTCGACTAAAAAAATTCTAAAATAAGTTTTAACATTTTCATTTTGTAGTTGAAGAAAATGAATTGATGTATTTTTAGCAAGCAAAAGGTCTTGGACAATTTCCAATAATTAAGTTTCAAACAAAGTCATCAAGGTGTAATGAAAAGGTATACAGATAGATTAAAAATAATAAATATTTTATTAAGTCAATAAAAAACACATATAAATGCATACAAATTTTATAAACAGTGAAAGGAATGGAAGAGTCCCATAAAAAGTAGACAATACAATGATTTGTAGAATATTTCGTGCGACAAAATGCAACAATTCTATTTTTTGGGTGTGATACATAAAACAAACATGTGCTGAGCAATGTTCTTTTGGGAAGATTCGTTGATTTTTTTTTTTTTAGAGTTTTATCAAATATCTATTATTTTGATAAATAAACACCCCAGAACACGATGTTGAACAATATATACGACACAGGAAAGACAACTCTCGACAATCTGTCCACATGACGAGCTCGTGCCATAAAATCTACATTTTTCCTTTCATCAATGGTTTCATATTTCTTATCGTCCTTCTCTGGCATCTAAAAATCACGGAAAATATCTCTTATCTTACAAATGAAATAAATGACGATTAAATTTTCTGCTGAGGTCTTTTTTCTCAAGCACATAATACTGAATGCTTGCTCTCAGAGCTAGACTACTCAGAAAGCATTGATTGAAATTGAATATATATCAGCCTTCTTATCTTCAATCTTCATTACAACAAATACATACAAAAGAATTTTCACATACTATCAGGGATACTAACTAATCAATGTTTATTGCATAGCTTTGTGAATTGAATTGATTAAGAGCCTTTTACATTGTTAACTGAAAAATGTATATGCTTTTCAGAAAACAAATTTAAACTTCATAGTTAAGCTTTAAAATAATCATGCTTTAAGTATTAAGTGAATAAAGAGATGATTTTTCTGAACAGTCCAAACATTAGTAGTCAAATTGTTACCTTTGTCTGTTTTTGATGTTTTCTTGTCTGAATGTTAATGAAAGCATATTCAAGAAGTGCTGCAAAAACAAATAACAACCCAAGAGCCATCCATATATCTATCGCTTTTATGTAGGACACACGTGGAAGAGAGTTTCTTATACCAGAACTTTGAGTTGTCATAGTAAGCACGCAAATGACCCCAAGCGAGACTCTCGCAGGAACAGCATCCACATGAATCCAAAATGAGATCCAGGAGAGAGTGACGATAAGCATGCTGGGAATGAACACTTGAGACATGTAGTATCCCAGATTTCTTCGGAAAAACAATTTTGCCTGGAGACAAGAGAACTCCACGTCTGAAAAGAATGGAAATAACATTTTAGATGCAGAAATGTTTGTCCATCTTAAAGTGAATGCTGTCTAGCAATTTATTTAAATTTGTTCAAAGCTGATCGTTTGATGGAAGACATTTAATGTTAAATACATAAGTGTTACTCAACTGTTTGTGCCATTTGAAAATTATATGAAAATAAAAGATCTTACCATGGGAAATAAATTACAAGAATTACAAGAAATACATGCGTTAAATATGAAAGCCATATAGCCCTTTCAACTCAAAAGTTATTAGCAAGGTCATTTTTTGCGGACAAAGAAAAAGATAGACAGGGAGACGGACAGGGCAAAAACTGTTTGCTCCCGCATCTTTAATTACAGTGTCATAAAATGATAGATGAAAATATACACAATTCTTTGCATATTTTACAGAGTTAAACTCACGATTTCTCTATAATAGCTTCTAAAAATCATTGCTTAGACACAAGCCTTTTCTCAATTGTCAAGAATAGTTCGCTTGTGTGAAATATATGTGTGTTTTAAGCCACAAACTCATTTTTTTTATTATAATTTTAACTCTGCCAAGAAAATCAATTATACGATAAAGCAATTTTACATTAAACTCGTACACAGAAACTTCTATAAAATTTGAAGGTATGTGTAAATTTTGTAAAACTAGTACTTTTAAACACCAGAAAAATAATCATGTCAAAGTACACTAAAAATGTTTTATAAAATTCTTGAAGTAAGATTAAATTTTTACTAAAGATACACCTTTTGATTAATGATAAAGTTTAAGAATCAAAAATTGCAAATGATAATAATAATTTGTTTTCAAATGATTAAGAATAAAGATTTTGATCAGCAAACGAATGTACACGTGGTTGAAATATGAACGGAAATTGTTCTTATCCCATGATAATCCCCCTAATAAAAGCTTTTATTTTACCTTAACTCATTTCTATTATCGAGGTAAATCAATGGAATGAGTTTGTTTTATACTTCCGCTGCAGAGATTTAATCCTGTAGAAAATATGGTTGTCGATAACCATAAATCCACTGGGAAATGTTTATCTATAGATCAATTAGTGTTCTTGGAGGTATTTTTCCCACAAGAGAGACCGCCTTAATTACAACGTAGAGTATTATCTACTACAGTAACTTTGAGTATTTTCATCTTCGGATTCTTGATTTACCTTTATTGCCAAGAGGTTTTTGTCGCGGGAAATCTTAATCTTGTTAACTCTTCATAAACACGTTAAGGTTTAGAGTAGTCGATAGCTGCTGTATAGGATAGTGGTAATGCCAATGGTTCTATAACAGAATGATGAGGGTTCTGTAGAATGCCACAATTAAGTAGTTTGGTTCCTCAGTGGACACTTCTTTCAATGTTTAAGTTGAAAGATTGATTTATTGAATGTTTTTAATTACCTATTCAAAACTTTGTTTTTACTTTAAAGGAGATGTCACAAATTTCAGCTAAAAAGCTTCAAATAAAGACCTTTCCTCGGCTCTCAGGGCCACTGAGCAGTTAAGAATGTACCATTATCTACCGAAACACGGAACCTCCATTTAAAGAGGTAAACTTTCACTTCAAGGTGTCTTTCTGCAGAAACAACTCCTACGTGTACCTATGTTTATTGACCAAAGGTCTGTCGAGGTCGGGATTTGAACCCACGACCTTCCGATTACGGAGCCAGCGCTCCAAAAATATTGCCTACTTACTTCTGGAAAAGACTTGCTGGGAAACAATAAGAATCCACAGTTACATGTAAAAGATAAAAAAATTAAAAAATCATTTAAATCATACTGAAAGAATTTATGGTTGAACATCCGAGGGTTTCCAATGGCTTGTAAAAATAGAACTGAGGAAGCGTCTGTTCATCTGCATGCGCTGTTCCAATAATGACAGCGTCATCCGGGTTCCACATCAGCTTCACATTATGGATGGAATAGCCATCTGTAAGTCAAAATTGTTACAACTGTTTATAAATAGTCTGGTTCTTAATCTTTGAAAAGAACACGAAATATTTCGACTTTTGACTTCAATATTCTCAAATCAACAGCTGCTTAACAATCCTCAAAGAAATATAATGTACCTTCTTTACACACATGCCTTAATGGTTAATAGACATTGAGAGTTTATCATCTCAATGTGTATTATTTGTACATTCAACAAAGTTTCCAAACCCTATGACCCTATAAAAACTGTCTATTTTTTTTTTGATATGGATGAAAACTTTTCCAATTAAAAGTGTATAATTTTTGTCTAACTTTAAAAATGTTTAAAGTAGATTTTATTTAACTTTTGTAATTCAAACATACCAGAGGGCTAGAGCTCTTCAATGTAATAGTGTAAAGGTTGATTGATTGACTGTATACTGTTAACATCCCATGCGAGATTTTTTTACTCATATAGAGACGTTACCATATACCGGTAAAGAGCTTCAAATTTGACCATTACTCGGCACTCCAGGCCATAGAGCAGTGGAATGTCTTTATCGTGCCAACACCGGCGCCTGCCGTGACACGGGACCTAAGTTTTTAGGGTCTCGTCCGAAGGATCCGAAACTTTCACTTCAAAGTGCCGAGCGCATGGTAAAAGAACAGTTGCTTCCCAATTTTATCGACTTTTTAGGCCAGTCACCGAGATTTAAACTCACTACTTCACGAAGCAAGCGTTCTGCCGACTGAGTTACAGTGAATGGATAAGTGTAAGTCCTTCAATACTGAAATAGTAAAGAGATATACTACTTTTAATTGAGCAAGACCGGTCACGAAAGCCTAGAGGTAGAGCGTTCGCTTCATGACCGGGAGGCCCATGTTCGATTCTCGTTCGCAGTGCCGCGTCGTGACCTAAGACGTGAACATAGGTAGTGACTGTTCCTTCGTCAAGCGCTCCGGACTAAAGGTGAAAGTCACAGGTCTTTTGGATAAGACCTTGAAAACGTAGGTCCTGTGTCACTGTTGGCATTGGCACGTTAAGAACCTTCACTGCTCAAACGCCCTAAGTGCCGAGTACTAGTTTAGGTCTTAATTTTAAAGCCCTTCATTGGCATACGGTGACGTCTCCATATGAGTGAAAAATTCTCGAGAGGGACGTTAAATAATATACAATCAATCAATCAATCAATCAGTCAATCAATCTAATTGATCAAGAAGACTACTTACAACTTTCCATCAGGATGGAGCAAGTCTGATCGTCCATAGGGTAAAATCTTAGGTCCATGATGCAGGAAAGTGTTAATGATAATCTATATAAATATCATATGTGTGTTATTCTTAAAGAATGTTATTCCTAATCATACAAATAATAATAAATAACATGTTCTTTTAAACAGAGTTTCTTTAAATCATAAAAATGTCTCGTTATGAGTGAAAATTCGCAACGACACATAACATCATACAATCAAAGCAACTGAATTTTTCTCTGTTTTGAGAATGCTACGGATGTCGTTTTTTGGTTTTAGATCTTTTCTGTAAATAATATACCAGAATATATATATATATTTTTTCTATATTAAATATGTCGAAGTAATTGATTCCTCCGATCTTGCGGCACAAATAAAGGCGTTATAAACGGTGAACTAAATCCCTTATCTCTTTCATGAATTACTTTGATCACTTCGCAAAATATTTCTGGGCAACCTCCTCCGCGACATATTTGTTTTGATGTGGTTATAATAACTGCCATTATGTCTAGAAAATTGCTAACGGATCGACAGATGTGTGTTTTGTCCTCCCCCACGCCTAAAGTTTGTCAGACTTTGATGCAATCAATTGACTCAAGGCTTTTTACATCGTTATTCACACGTGTGACGGGATTACATATTGTATATAAAGTTCTTTCAAAGATGAAATAGAACAACTAATGCACAGTTTTTCGCAAATTCCATCACCAAGCTCATAAATTTGGTATGGCAAATGTAATTCATCTCCATGATTAAAGATACCACATTATTTTGAAAATTAAATCATAAACTTATTCGTAAAATGATATTTTTTGCTAGTAGGTTAACAAATTCTATAAACAAAATTGACATGTACAACAAATTTGGATCTGACATTCCAAAACAATGTATTAGTAGACACAAGCCACTTAACCTGATACTGTATATTATAAGACCGTCATTGTAGATGTGGAGAAGCTTATTTGGAACTGTAACTGTGTGAATTGTTGCGCTTTTCTCGTTCTGGAAGTACGTATCGGGAACCCAGACATCTCCTATATGCTTCTGGTCTAGTTCCAGCATGCTTATATTACTGAGATGAGAGAAGTTTAGGCGCGGATCCATCCAAGTTTGACGAATAAAGAGGTTAAGTGTATAATCCTGTAACATAAAAATATTCGTGAATATGTTAAAAATAGAAAATATATTTTACACACGGCAGGTGTGACCGGTCGGCCGGGGATACTCACTTCTCCATGGCACCTGATCCCACTTCTGATGTTTTGGAGGTCCGTGTTTGCTATACTCTTCTTTTATATTGTTTTATTTACTTCTGATCTTGGATGTTGTTCGTTATCTCCATATGTTTCATTTATTGTTTTTATTCTTATTTTGATTTAGTGGAAAAATATATATGAAATATTTTTCTTATTTCACACTTACCCTGAGATGAAGTGGTTTAATCGTTTGTGCGTACTTCGATACGGTTTATAAATATGGTCTAATCCAAAAGTACAGGACTAAATTAACAACACTTTTAAGGCAAATGGTAATGTCCAAATGCATGCGAAAATTTCCCAAAGTAACGTTAAACAAGCAACAAACTTATATTATTTTAAGAGATTAAGATGTCATAAAAGTCTCTTAAGATTTAAGAGATTGAATAAATAAATGAATTTTACATAATTCAAGAAAACATTGTCAGAGAATTTTCATTTTATAAAGGTTTCAGGTATTAGATTTATCCGGCATTATTTCTTTATTGCATAAATAAATGACATTTATTTTGGTTCATCCAGGTTTTTTTTCTTGCAGTATTGTCGTTTAAATATACCTTTTACCAATTCTAAAGTTGTTTTCCTGTGAAGGGAAGGCTTTTGAAAAATTCATTATGTAATGAACATAATAATATGGCAATTTTTATTAGCATCTATTCATATTAAACTATCAAATTTTGTACTGCAATCGATAAATAATTACTAATTGATTTTTCATGCAGGATGCTCATTTTTAATCATCATTAATGAGCAGTTAACAAACCATAATTTTAAGATAATTACAGTGCCTGTTAGTTTGTTTTGCATCTTTTCAAATGATTTAAATTGAAAAAAAATTCAAGGCGCACAATGTAAAATACTCGCATGATCTTTAATTATAGAGACATATCCATTAGAACAGGTATCAGATTATTTTACTTTTAAAAAACTGCACCAGTTGAATATGGAGTGAAGTGAAAAACTCTGTCACATGAAACACGTGTTAACGTACATCACTCTCGATTACTCACCATTGACAATTCATTGATTGAATCAATGCTGATGATGAAAAGCTGGACATCAACTTCTGTTGCAATATCTACAATTTACAGTAAAAAAAAAGACACCGTTAATGAAATAATGCCTCAGATGGAGTTCATATAGATAAAGGTATACTGTATACGAAACAATTTTTTTAATTCAAACTTTTATTTCAAATAAGAATCATATTAAACATAAGCCTATAGGATATTGTAGATTAAAGATTATACCAATATCAATGAGTTCACGAAGAAAACATCAATTCGTCATGAATTCTAACGAATATTATGCCAAACCTTGGACTTGAAGGAAGGTCTAACTATTTTGTCAGAATGGATTATGTTTTTTTTTTTTTAGATCTATATATAATAAAAATTCGTTTTAGACAATTAAAAGGCAAAATGCGAACCATTCATCCTTTCGTGTTCACTTAACCATATGCCATGAAAGAGCTCGTGACACTTCCTGAACAATCTATTACGGTTCCAGCAAACAGGGCATGTACATGTAACAATGTCGTCTTTCTTTTTATTATTGTATTTTGGAAGAATTTGGTTTAATTCTACGACTGAAAATCCAGCATATACTCTCAGTTTACTTTCCATGGAGGGAATTCTTTAAAATCACATTACACTATTTATTATGCTAAAATTTATGTGCCAGTCAACCAAGACTAGAACTTCGTTCATTTGGTAAATTTGAAAAAAAAAGTCATTACAAACAAAGATTAATTGCTGAGTCCAGCAAATGCTCTACCAAGCCATAATCTTTAATCGTTACAAAAATATTACATGCTCTAAAATGGAAACCTCAAACATACTTATTAACGTAGCATACTTTAGAAGTAAATCAGGTTTAGATCTTCAAAAAATTCTAAAGAACTTTTAGAAACTTTAAAATCACGAACATTTTCAAAAGACTAAAGCAGCTTACAAATTTTCTATACTTTATACAACAACTCCTCAAAATCTGGATTATAAGTCTTTTGATATTATAGACAACTGCTTCCTCAATAAAAATGAAACTTTAAAATGTTCACTTCTTGCAATCAGCATGATTACATGTACGTAGAAAAAGACTACTTAGATTGTACACACGGGTACTCTGAAGTTGATAATTTTATAAGAAGGATGTAGGAGTTCTTCATAATATTCTTTATGTAGTATTTAGAACAACTTTGTCAGCAAATTTTGGAATTCCGATGAGCACTTAATGTGCACCTTTATCATCTTACCTGTTTATTTATTCCTATGAAGCAAGAGTTTATTTAGAACCTTCGATTCTAGGCGAGAATGGGAAACATGTTGTGGTCTTTGGTTCCACATTCAAATAAATACGAGGGTTGATCCAAAAGTCATGCCACATTGTCAAAATCTTTTGTATTTGGTGTCATATTATCAAATGCAATATACCAAAATATGCACATATATAAATCTAATTAACATCGAAACGTTTGTCTAATAATGTTAAAATTCAATTAATTTCATAGATGATTACAACATCAAGAAAAGGGGGGTGTCGCCGCGTCAAATCTAAACATCATGTTTTAAAGAACATTTTTTTAGGATGAGAAAGACATTAAAAAATATTCTCAGAGTGTCTTATCGCCTAAAATTTTTAAAAGACAGAATGACTATATGTTTTTGTAATGACCAGTTAAGATTAAATGACGACATTGTTATTTCTTATTTAAAAATTGTGTTTGACACTGATGCATTGAAAAAAGAAGATGTCATAATGGGGGGAAAAAGCCGTCAAGAGCTGTTATGGATTTTGCATTTTTACGTCAAAATGAGAAAATTACCAGTATAGACAGCTACACTGATTAATAAGACTCACAATGATAAAAAGGTAAAGAAGAGTCTTTTTTGTAGATGATTTTGCCGATGTTAAGGAGTGTGATAGGTCATTGAATTATTATCAGAAGACAGGAAGACTGGAAGAGGAGAGGTCAGATGGAAACGTTTAACATACGGTGTCTGATGTTGTCAAAAGACATTCGTGTATCTGTTATATAAATGGATATGAACACTGTCTTATTATACTGTTCAAGGAATTTTGACAAAGAAATTTGTTATGAAAAGAGTGAATGTACAATGGCTACCAAGAATTCATTTAAGAACAGTTATTTGTGAACGTACACTGAATTCGATAATCTCAAATATATTTTATTGGGAAACGTTTTTAAGTATTACAGCGCGTACAGTATATCCAGAACATGACGTTATTTAGATGCAGCGACTACCAAATTTGCGCATTGTATATAATTATTAATTAAATTAAGAAATGAATTTAATTTTTGAAGATTCATGAGGTTATGAACTACGACGCTTCATGCCAGCATATTTCATGAAGCGTGTTAGCGCTTCATGATAAATATGCAGGCGTGAAGAGTTGTAGTTCATATACCTCATGAATCTTCAAAAATTAAATTCATTTCTTATATTTACATTATTTTTAGATGACTTGTCATAAATTTACGAAATTCAACTGTCATTTTTAAAGCAAAACAGTGTGCACTATATTTTTTTTTTTATATCAAGTGCGGTATTATGACGTAACAATGGAGATGTCCATTCTTATTCGTGGTACATATTTAATGTAGTTCATGAGAAAATGAACTGCATTTCATTTTGTAAAGAATCATGGGGAAATTTACTGGAAATGTAAATATTACCTTTTAAAGTATTTTTTTATTTGAATTCATTTTTGGGGGGTCTGATTTGAAATAAATTTAGCTTCCATCATATATAATTTTGTTGTTGTACGTCGACTAGTAGCAATTTAAATGAGCTTATATTAACTACAATTTTTGTTTATTGATCAAAATTTTTATTTTGATCAATAAAATTTCAATTTCAATATATATTATCTTTGTCCTTATTTATATCAGTTGAGAGAAGAGGGTTCATAAATGAAGTTGTTACATTACTTTTGGACCAACCCTCGTAATATCGACGATTTATATCTATAAACAATGTTTTCATTCGATTGCCGAGTTTAGAAACCACAGTAAACTTGAAATAAAACAAGAGGCCCAGGGGCCACAGCGCTCACCTGAGCACATCGCCTAGGAAAAAGCACATATCAGATCAGAACTGAAAGTTTATATATGGGGGATGATTTGAACAAACTTGAATCTACACTACCTGAGGATGATTCCATATAAATATAACTAATCATGGCTTTGAAGTACATTGTAAAGAAGATTTTAAAAGATTTTTCCTATATATTCCTATGTAAAACTTTGATCGCCCATTTTGGCCCCACCCTACCCCCAGGGGTCATGATTTGTACAAAATTCAATCTACACTACCTGAGGATGATTCCACATGAGTTTCATCTTTCCTGTCTCAATGGTTCTTAACAAGAAGATTTTTACAGATTCTTCCTATATTTTACTAAGTAAAGCTTTGATCGGCCATTTTGATCCCGTCCTACCCCCGGGGGTCATGATTTGAACAAACTTGAATCTACACTACCTGAGGATGATTCCACATGAGTTTCATCTTCCCTGTCTCAATGGTTCTTGAGAAGAAGATTTTTACAGATTTTTCCTATATATTTCTATGTAAAATTTTGATCGGCCATTTTGGCCCCACCCTACCCCCGGGGTTCAAGATTTGAACAAACTTGAATCTACACTACCTGAGGATGATTCCACATGAGTTTCATCTTTCTTGGCCCAGTGGTTCTTGAGAAGAAGATTTTTACAGATTTTTCCTATATATTCCTATGTAAAACTTTGATCGGCCATTTTGGCCCCACCCTACCCTCGGGGGTCATGATTTGAACAAACTTAAATCTACACTACCTGAGGATGATTCCACATGAGTTTCATCTTTCCTGGCACAGTGGTTCTTGAGAAGAAGATTTTTTAAAAATGCCATTAATTTTTCTCTAATTCATAATTATGTCCCCTTGAAAAAGGGCATTGCCCTTCATTTGAACAAACTTGAATCTTCTTTACCCAAGGATACTTTGTAGCAAGTTTGGTTGAAATTGACCCAGTGGTTCTTGAGAAGAAGATGGAAATGTGAAAAGTTTACGACGACGACGACAACGACAACGACGACAACAAATTTTGATCAGAAAAGCTCGAGCTTTCGGCTCAGGTGAGCCAAGAACACCACAGAGTATATGTCACTCCAGTTTCATATATGGATGTTTACTGCCTATAGACAGTTAAGGCCGAATAAGAACTGAATTGTATGACAAATAAGATGATTCTAGCTTTTCCATAGTCAACTTTATTTATTTATGTAGTACTTGTTATATTCTGGTATCACCTGACTAAAGTGTAAACTTTCTGTATCCTACCGTATTCGATACTTGCTCCCAGTACAATCAGTGTTTACAGGGAGACATGCTTCTTAAATAAGTTGATGTTACAAGGATTTCAACAACCTCGTTTAAAGTCGGCATTTCGTAAATTCCATGGTAGTTGTTAAGAACTTGTTTGCAAATATTGCATATCACTGGATTGTATTTTGTCTGACTTGTTTCATTCCAATTGATAGCCTTTTGTGTTAAAGCTGAATTTGACTACGGAAACCTCAGTCTACCAGATTAATACAAAGATCTCACGGCGGTGCAACCGGTCAACAGGGGGTGCTTACTCCTCTTTAGCATCCGATTCCACATTTTGATTTTCCAGGAATGTGTTTTTATACATCTTTACATATTTAAATTGTTTATAGTTTTTTTTAAGAATCACTGTTTGATATCTTTTACAAAATTTAAAACATTTTATATTGATACAAAATTTTGTGAGGAAAATTTCTAGAAATGAATAGAAGACTTTTTATGATCGGCTATTTAAAAATAATATTTAATTTTGTAAATAGATAAATAAATAACTTTAAGAGAAAGTGAATAAAAGATATGTGCACCTTTCTCGTAATCAGGTGGAATTCTTGGGTCATACTCCGCACTGCTAAGAAGTGTATTCAAAATGTCTCTCCTAAAATAGTGAAAAAGAAATTATTTGTTTGTTTAATTTTGTTTACGCCACCGTTTGCCAGTTGATGGTCTTTAAGAGTGAGGTATCTTTTTCCTGCCAGTACTTACCGTGTTCTTACTCTTGGGACCCCGATAAGGTCTAACGTTCAGCAGTGGGATTCGAAACCTCGACGTATTGATATCTGCTGAAGAGCAAGCGCTCTAATAACGATGGCTATTAACACCTTGCCAAATGTGCAAAGAACAACATCACTCGTCTTGGTAAAAAATACCCTCCATAACAATATGGATGCATGGCCTCATGAAATATTTAATGTAATACGTTTTGCATTTATAGTGTACTTTTTTGTGCTTTCATGGATAACACTTTGTTTGCATCGACAATCAATTATTAAGACAAATTGCAATCGGAACGAAACGAGTTGTTTAAAGCTACTAAATCTGTTGTGAAAGATGTGTCTTTTCAAAAGATGTAATTTCTGCAAAAAAGAAATCTGACTGGGCTATCACTACTGCACTTTTGAAGATGGATTAATTAAAAGTTATTTATCACAGTTCATTTCACAAATCACCATTTATTTTGGAGTCTATATACTTTGAAGTAAAACAGTTGATGGTTAATAGTTTTCTTGATAGTTTGAAATTTTTGAATAGTTGAGAACTTTTAAAGTCAAATTATTTTTTCAGTTTTGATTGATGTTTTGCTTTATGGATTAAAATTATAACTAAACATCATAGGGTGTAAATGTTTTATATTTTACAGATTTTATTTTAAACCTTTCTTAGTTTTTGATTTTCGTCTGCGAGTATCGACCATTATCTTTGACTTAAGTTTGAAAAGAGAATCTGGTTGATTTTTGAAAATTTCCTTTTCAAAGGTAATTTTGGGCAAAGGATTCATTTTTCGTCGTACGACGAGAGGAGCGTTCGTAAAAACTTTTGTCAACATTCAAAAATAAGACCAAAACTTGTATTTTCTTTTCTCTCTTCCGATAATGAAAAACTATTTAGATAAAATATAGCAAACAAAGGCATGGAATTTTCCAGTGGAGGAGAATTTCCTTTGACATCAATTTTGGAAACTTTGGACCGAGAAAAGAAATTCAATAATTATAATTTCGATTTTATGCCAGATGTGATTGACTTACCTTTTCATTTCTTGAGACCCGACGAAGTGAACCACCATGAAAAATATCCAATGAGAGAAAATCCCCTTCTTCATCGTTACTGTAGTTAAAGCTAGATCGATCTGTTTGGGTGTTCGTGTGTAATGTTACAGACATTTAAGAGTTCCGTCAAAGTTCACTGCGATCGTGAGGTGTCGGGTCAATGCGGACGACTGCAAAGCAATGAGTCTTAAATTCAAGTTTAAGAATACATACTTTAATGGAAATAAAAGTATTAATCAATGTACATGTCTAAAAAAAAGTGGGAAATATTTATAAATGTGGACATTTTTTAAATATATATTACAGCCTGTATTTTAATCAATCTCAAAGAAAAACCAAAAATATCCAAACAGAATAACATAAAATTTAAAACGTAACTTATGCTACGCAGATCATTTTTTAAAAAACTTTTTATTTTCTGTAATTTCAAATTGGAATGGAGTTCAGTGAAATTGTGATAGCTCTTAATTGATTCAACAGATTGCTATATTGCATTTGAAAGAACATTGGTTGCAATGATGACAAAACATTTTCACTGCATTGCTCTATTAACACGCTTTTAACAGACAATTTTCCCCAGACAGTCTGAACAATGCTTATTGAAAAAATAATAACGAGAAAAACTTACAGAATTTAGAAATACTTGAACGATAATATGATAGCATCCCCTGTATTTGACCAAATCCTCCCACACAACTTAAAATGATATAATGTTCATCTGATCTTTTAAAAGTGCTGCGCATGCAATGAAGTATTGCTCTAATGTCTCAATGTTGTGCAATAAAATCAAATGCATTGTGAATGAGCAATTCGTCAGAAAACATGCTCAAACTGTTGTAAGTAAATGACATAGAGGTTCTTTTTCACATAATGATAATAATAACACTTACGATTACGTATAACAGAACTCACAAAGAAAGAGAATTACAAGAAAAATATTTTAAATAACAGAGAATGATGATGATGTGTTCTGCCAGTGTACTAACGAACAAAGGTGTTTGCAATGAAATCAAACGATTTCCCTTACAAGGGTAATATTGTTACAAATGGTATTAAAAGCTGGGTGACAGATATATCTACCTTCAATTCCATACGAACAATTCCCTCTGACATTTACGACAGCTTTTTAACAAAATGTATCCCACATGGGAATGGTAAGGGAAAAGTAATAAAATATATACCCTGTATCAAAAATTTCATGTAAGAGAGACGACTTTGATTCATTGTTTTATTTAGAGACCTTGAGAAGGAAATAACATTTTAGACGTTTTAATTAGACAAATCACTCTGTTTGTGGTAAACAACAGATTTCGTCAAAAGTCACTAGTCCTTCAAAAATAGCTAAGGTTTTTGTGTAATACCCCGGTATGGAGATAACGAGCAACATTCAAGCTCAAAGTTCATTCGTTAATACAAATCTGGTGCAGAGCAAACATGGACCCCGAAAACTTCAGAGATGGGACAGGTGCTATGGAGGAATGAGCATACCCTGTCGAGCGTTCACAACCGCAGTGTGCTCCTGTCATGGTTGGGAGAAACGGGAAAAAATCCTAGACAATTCAGTTCGTATATAATGACCCAAGAATTTGACTGTTTATCGTCAGTAAGCATAAATTTTGACATGAAAGGTTGTATTTGCTGACGAGGTCACCATAAAACAAGCGAAATGTCTTCAAAGAAGACAATGGATATCCTTATTTCATCTACATGTTTGTAATGTAGCTTACCTCGATTAAGAAATTATTCCGACGCAGAGTAATATAAGTATATTCCTGCATAAATGAGGAAAGTTGACGTCATTCCGTATATTATTAAGCTTTGTTGTCAGGTTACCATAATATCTTAGTCAGAAATTGGGACGTAAAACAACATACATGCAGCAAATATTTTTTCTAAATTCTACATGAAAAAATAAATGATGTCCAAAACAATTAGCCAGCGTACGTTTTCGTAACAGTTTATCTCTTTCATGATCAATGTCTTATATAATGTTTGTTGAATAGAAGATGACAGTTGTCATTATGCGGTCTTTCTTTTCCATGAATATTTGACCGTGTTCATCTGACTTGTTCGTGAAACTTATTCTAATATTCACTATCCACATCGACATTTTTTCTACTATTATTATCCAATGTATTAATGGGTAATATCATTTTGATATGACTGTCTTTATTTCTGAATATGCATTACGAAAAATCTGTTTTAGAAAAATGTCAATATAGTCTTATGTTAATTGAAGAACAAAAATGAGGAATAAGATAATTTACTAGTATACCCACGGGATATTCACTGGTTAGTATTGGATTGATTGATTATATATTGTTTAACGTCCCATTCGAGAATGAATTTTTCACTCATATGGAGACGTCATCGTATGCCGCTGAAAGGCTTCACATTTACACCTATACTCAGCACTCAGGGCCATTGAGCAGTGAGGGTTCTTTATAGTGCCAACGCCTACCGTGACCTACGTTTTAAGGTCATATTCGAAAGACCCGTGACTTTCACTTCTAGTGCCGAGCGTCTGGCGAAGGAACAGTCACTACCTTTGTTTACGTCTTAGGTTTGACACGGCGCTGCCTGTGAACGAGAATCTAACCCGGGCCTCCCGATCACGAGGTTAGTATTTGAAAGTACAATTTGAAACAATAACTTTTTCATAAATATACGAGATTTACCAGTTGAGAGACACGTTTTGATCAAATACGTGAATCATGGGTAATAAGATCCAATACATACCTATAAGTTCGGTATACTGTGATGGATGCGGAAGCCCATTTAGGACCCATCAAAAATATTTTTGAATTCGATATAACGAATTGTCGAATTTGTTTTAACGAATTTAATTCGTGTTAACGATAAATTTGAATTCGTTATAACGATTTTATTCTGTTCTAACACTTTTGTTGGATTCATTATAACGAATTCAAAATTTGTTACAACGATAAAATTCTTTGAAACGAATTCTAAAATCTGTTATAATTAATTAAATTCGTTTAAAAAAATTCTAAAGTTTGTTATAACGAATTAAATTCATTTCATCAAATTCAACAACGATGACGTATAAAATTTTATATATAAAAATTAATTCGAATTCCATATAACCTATTCGATTTATAATCCGTAGGATTATCAATTCGTCAATTCTTTCAAATAACACAATCCGTTATCTCGGATTTAATTCGTTTATAATGTAAACCCTTCTCATGATTTCATTGATATCAGCTATCTGTACATATCGGATATGGCAATACGTGTTTAATGAATAGAATATTGTAGGTGTTTAGATCGACCTTTTAATACACATTAAAAATCTGTCATAACAAGTACTGATATTTATATAAAAAAAGTCCTGGGTTTTGTTTTACGTGTATATTACGAAAGTTATATATTAAAAGTAAATATGGCTCCTGTGTAATTGTTTTTTATCAAATAAAATATACGTTGAATTAGTTATAAAAGAGGTTCGGAACGACCGCGGTTGCGAATACATAAAAAAAAATAGTTGGATTTGAATGTATCCAACATTACAAATTATATACATATATACATGTTAAATAAATTGAAAATCATAAGACTGATGTTACAAATCGAGATCTCAAATTATTAATCCGTGGGATTTGTGTAAATTGAGATCGTTAAAACAAATTCGACAATTCGTTATAATCTCGTGGGAAATTCGGATTGTGTTAAATATTTAAACCGAGGGAACGAATTGATAATCCGGTCCTTCGAGATCTCGAATAAACCGAGGGAACGAATTGATAATCCGGGCTTCCGTCAACGTGTCCCTTCATGGCTTTCGTAAATTTTATATATGAATTCCCATATAACGATTTGTTGAATACCTTTTAACGAATTTAATTCGTTATAACAAATCCCAGAATTCGTTTATACGAATTAAATCTGTCATAACAAGTTTAGCAACAACAGGCACCAAATGCCGTTAAAACAAATTCGACAATTCGTATATATATATATATATATACACATATATATATATATATATACATTCTAGTTTGTCTGTACATATTATCGTCAGCTGCACATTTATATATATTCTCGCCAGCAACAATATATGTATATGAGCATGGCATCAAAAATGTACAATCCCCTCTCCCATAAAAGGTATTGTAGTCTTGTACATAAAGTCTTGCAAAAAAAAAAAATTAAACCAAGTTTGGTAAATATTTATTAAGCTACTAAATTAATCACGTTTACAACAGTCATTAGCTGCAATAATGTAGCCCACTCCAATTTTTTTAACTGATATTTTCTCCCAAAAACAAAAAAAAGGAGAGGGCTACATATTATTGCAGCTAAACAGTCATCAACTCGACTAAATACTTATGATCTATTATCTTCTGATACAAGGAATCATGATTTTAAGAAAAAAATATGTTTATCGATAACTTACCTTCTTGCAGCCAGAGATAATTTGAGTGAATATAATTTGTTTTTTTCTCAAATAGATACAGTAAAGGAAATATGTGCCACCAAAGTCGTTTGAATTCACAGTCCAGTTCCTGAAAAAGGACTTAACATTATTTCTGCACGCGTTACTCCTCACTAGTTAATTATATTGATTGACTGAAAGAGTTAGGATATTAGGTAAGATAAATAGTAACAGAAACTTCAGAGTATTCTTTCACATCCATCTTAAATTTCATGTTTTTTTAATCGATACGGTACACATGGTACTTGTAGCAATTTCCTCACTAAAAACTGTCCGGTTTTAAGAATTTGTATAAAAAACTGAAATTGAAAATAAACAGAAGGAAATAGAAGGATGACAGAATTATCTGCTTTAAAACATGACATTTATACTTAAGCTTATCTTTCAATAAACATGCGTAACTTACAATGTGTCGTTTAATTATTCAAGCATTAACGAAGCATTTTTGTGCTTTCACATAAGGGCTACGGTGTTGACCATTTAAGTTATATACGTTCTTATTTGAAATGTTCTTGCTTTTAGATGGACAGAACGAAGTAAAGAAAAACAAACTCCTTTTACTGTCCATGACCTTATCACTTTTTCCTTTTTGATCTTTAAAGAGAATTATATGTCTATCCTATGAATAATATTTCATTGATTGCAATTTATTCTTATTTTCCAGAGATATAAAACACTATTTACTATTATCGATAATGTTTAGTTCAAGATCATTAGCTTCAAGAGTTAAGCCATCATTTCTCTTTGTCGACCGGTTTAAAAACAAGTCAGCGAAAGACACTCTTGAATCGTTAAGAGAAAATCAATATTGTTGGATAAATTTTATTAATTTTACATTAAGCACGTGTTTTCTTCCTTTTTTAAAGTTTGAAGGCTAAAGGAATATAACACAAACACAGCATAAGTATTTATTTGTTTTTAAGAATATGTTCTGTTAATGCTTCAGAAATCTAATTACCAAAACTCAGGGAGGTAAAAATAAGGTGTCACTGACCAGCCGCTATGCTGCTATGGTTCATTAAACACTGAAGATGGATTAGGAAGAAAGTTTTTTATTTAAAAATCCAAATTAAAAATATGGATAAAATAAAGCTATTAAATATGGCATGGATAATGTATGATTTGTATGAATGATCTCATGCCATACTTGACTTTGACCATAATTTAATAATCAAAGCAAAAAAATATTTAATTCTATTAGAGTTATCGTGTAAACTTTACATTGAAAAGCATACGCAAAATACCTCTGTGATTATACATGCAAAAATTTTCACAAATTCTGCATATCAATTAAACTGGCATTTTAAAATTTCGTTAAAATATACAAAGATAATGAATGTATGATGTTTTTCTGATACTGCAAACGCTTTATTCGTTGTTAATTTCTTTTAAAATATAAATTAAATTACATCTTATGTGTTATTATCTATCATTTCTATAAAAAGAATGTGGAAAATGAAACATGTTACTGATAATTGATGATTCACTGTGATCATGCGTTTTTGCAGTGAAATACAAACACAGCAATATAGTCGTCGTTAACCTAATTACAGACTCTTGATTGACTTCTTTGACCTAGAAATATTATGCAGTAGATAGTTTCTCGAGTGTCCCATGCTAATGCTTCTCGTTCAAATCAATAAGAAAAGATTATTTTGTCTTAAGTGTTTTGTCGTGTTTCTTGGTCATAAGGATGATCAGTCTATTTCGGTTTTCAGTCTCTAATTATATTCATTATCCCATATCAAGAGTTATTTGATATTAGCACAAAACGGAGAGAATCAGTAGACAATATGTGAGTGAAAGATCAAGAAACATTTTCAACAGTGGAACACAATGTTACACACAAAAAGTAATAAAATAACACATTATTATTATATAGCTAATAAATAGTCTTTGATAAAATACAACCAAAAATATACATTTATATGCCAGCTCGTGCATTTGTACAGCCAACTTGTGCCAATATTCAACAATATAAGTTCGATAATAATCCTATATTATTCAATTTTCAAATTAATTTTCAAAATAATTTCTGCAAGCATATAATATTTAATTTGTCATAATTTATCCTACTTTTTATGTCAAAATTTTCCATGGTAATGAATTTTTGATACCTTGATTATGCAAAATTGACATAAGTATTTCATTCCAAGTAACTTCTATAAAATATTTTTTTAGAAAGGTAAGAAAGCGTCAAATCCTATGACATAAACCAAATACAAAAAACATTAGAACAAGACTCCTACTTCATAGGATTGTATGAAATGTAAAGTCAAAAATATAAAAAAAAGAAGACTTAAATTATTTTTGATAATTGTATCAAAAGCTTTTAAGTACAATATAAACACGGTATACTATTGTGAAAAAAACTCAATTATTCTCAGTGGAACATAAATACACCACTCTCAACCAAAACATATCTCATTTATACCAATTGTAGATATTATATTTTACGACTTCACGAGACATTTTAGTACGTTTGTTCTACAATATAATTAGGAAAAGATGCACTTGACACGCAAGGTTGGCAACATCGGCAATCATATTTCTATCTGAAAACAAAATCTTTTAAAGCGTATATTTGGCTACATTTAAAAGCCCCAAGTGAGTAACATTTTATGTATTCTCGTTGCGCATTTTAGCAACATAACAAAAAGAAATTTTGTAGCCACAACAACCGCTGTGATATCCACATTACGAGTAAAAATGCGCCTATCAATTTTGACCTTAAAAATTTCACAAATTATTTTTTAATTATACTTAAACTTAGATCATTAATCTAAGATTTGTCTTAATATTTATTAACATAAACACAAAATAAGATGATAAAATATACCTTCAATCAAGATAAATTAAGATATTTAATTGATTTGAATGATAATTTTTTAAGAAATTAAAGACTAGTTTTAGGTCAGAACAATTTGATTTGTTTTCATAACAAGAAAGGGGATAAATGGGATATATTCATTCTGCATTTACTCTTTGTATGCTGTTGATATCCTTTTATCAATTAATAAATATAGCACATGAATTCTATATTATATAAAACGAAGGGATTTTTACACTAATTGCTAAAACTAACAGCTAATAATTAAACAATTATTGCTGTTTTTCAGTCCATACGATGATATAGCCATCTTCGAAGTACAATAATTATATTAATCTCGCTCTTCGGGATCGGTTAATATTTTCTCCTCTCATGGCTAATTATAAATCATCCTATTCACCCCTACTAATGTGTTCGGAACCTTTTATTTTTCGGTGTTCTGCAAATTATAAAACCCGATGAGTTCAGAGTAGCTCTGGCAGTGGCTCTGGCGAGAGTTAGCGAGACTTCAGCGAGATAGGGTAAATTATTCACGGAAATGTGGCTAGGAAGTGACTTGCACGTGGAGGCATGGTAAACAGAAAAGTTATATTGCGTTTCAGTTTTCACCACCCTAGAATCAGCTGATAATGTCTGTAGAAATGTACTTCAATCAGTCGATCTCTCTTACATTCATTCAAACTTAAATAAGAACTCTCTATAATACAATTTTCTGCAGTCATGAATTAAAATTTCTTTTTGGACAAATATTTTTGCATGGGAACCGGGACTATATTTTTTGGCGTCAGATCAGCAAATGAGGCAACAGCGTGATTTTAACTGACCAATCAGCTGAATGAGTATTGCATTATGGGTTACTACGAATACTACAGGAATTTTACGCTTGAAAAAAGGAAAATCTTATGGTAAAACTAAATGAAAAGCATTTTTAACAATATCATTTTCATGCTCATAATGACAAACATTTGTTAAATAAACGGCGGAAGTCTAGGTTTCTGAAAGTCCTACTGCAAAAGCGATTTGCGTCTGTATTAATTCCTGTGTTGTACTATCGGTGAATACAATTGCCAGGGAATTCCCTGGCTGAACACGTGATCATGGACGTAAACAAAGTTTTGTCCATTTAAATGCAGATGTTGCTCATTTTCCTTACCCTTGAAGCGCTGGTGTTCTGAACTAGACACAAACTACATTTTATTAAACATTTTTTCCCATTAAACAACAAATTAAAAACGACCGTAACATCTTTCATAGTTTCTTATCTTTGTATTTTGTTCGTAGGAACATTTTTTGTTATTTTGCAGTCCATTTACTTGATCGTAGATTGACCTGAACTACATGTTCGAAGTAAAATGTAAACATGTATTTGGCGTAAACGTTGCTATTCATAATCATTCAACGATTGGTCAGTTGCTCGTGGTAAGATCCTCTGTGCGCATTCATAACAATTGCCATCTAAGGCAAACAAAGGTTTGTCAGTGTAGATGATAATGCACATTTTTTACCAGCGAAACGGTCACTAGTGAACTCTAATTTTCGTCGAAAGATATATTGTTAATTTAACATTCCCTCCTTTAGCCACCCTTTTTCTGTTGAACATCATGCAAGTCTTTCGGAAAAGTCTGGAAACGTTAATTACAGGACATGTTTTCACAAGAAACAGGCTATAGCAATATCATGTTTACTGCCAATTTTATTTATAAAACCGGTTCTACCCTATAACCTTTGAATAGATCAACCTAAACCACGTGTCTTGAATTTAAATCACAATAACATTAGTAGGGGTGCTATTGACCTCAAAAACAGCAATAAACGAGATCATTTTCTAATAAATAATTCAAAGTTGTTAAGTGTACTGTAATAAATATCATTTTTTAAAAAGAGAAAGTTAAAATCAAAGTACGTAAATATTCTAAAATGCATTGGCTATACATTTATAAAAAAAAAGTGAATTTGCATAAAGTTTATCGCTTGTAAACAACTGTACTCTAAATTTAAAGAAATAATTTCTCTTTCAAGGCTTTTCTTATGTGATTGATATAAAAATAAACCTCACGGTCACCCTGAAACCACATGCATGCTGGCAAAATACAAAAGAGAGGTCCTAATGAATTTGCCGTGAACATACAGGTGATTCAGAAGTAAATGAGAGGCAATGTCCATATAATGACGTGTCATAATCTTTCTCGATTGTGATGGTTGGTTTAAAGGAAAATAAAATAAATGAAGAGCTTTAAATACAGTTTATAATTTTCAATAGATTGCAGGTTAAAAAAGGAAAAACAACCCACAAGGACATGTTAATGAAAATCGAAATGAATTTTTAACAATATCAGTGATTATGAGGATGGTTTTATAATTGATGTGTTTCTCAAATAAGAAATGATTCTTAAAAATTGTTATTTATATAATTTTTGAAAAACATGCCGTTATTACTACAACGTGATCATATGATGTCATCTATACAGCTAAGTCTGAAAATGAAAACCTTAACTATTATATCAATCATAGCTTCGCAAAAATGTTATTTTGAAATTAAAAATTTTTGTTTTAAGTATATGTTTTGAAAATTCATGAACTAGACACTCCTATAAAGATTAATATTGACTTTTAAGTTAAATTGTTTTCTACAAAGGCAATTATAATAGGAATTTAACATCAAATTATACAGTAAAAATTAATCTCACCCATTTATACCCTCGTCGTAGTTTTACTAAATCTGGTCAGAGTTACTGCTCACCTTCAGGTATCATAATTTGCAAAGTAACGAAGAAAGTCAAGGTTCCGAACACATTATTACGTAGACGTCGACGTGAGTTACAATGTGTTCATAATGTAAATTTAGGTGTTGATAAATATTTGTGCTACATAGCTTTACTTAACATCAAGAAATAAAAGCATTCAGCATGTAGTTTTCTTTCACAAATAACAAAATTTATCCTTCGAATATATATATATATATATATATATATATATATATATATATATATATATATATATATATATATATATAAAGAAAAATCCACTCCCTTGCTCGCAAATTCTCACTGGTTATACGTTGGGCTACTGACATGTACGAAATATACATAGGCAATATACGTAAGAGTTATCATAGTTATTTTTAAGATAAGTTTATGCCACCATTATAAAATCATTTGATTTCAGATGAAAATTTTTAATAAATCTAGAAACCATTGTTGAAAACTTAAGCTTGAGCCACACTATGTGCAGAAAGGATTCATTCGAAATTGCGATATTCTGATAGATAGGCTTTGGCAAAATCTGAATATGACTATAACACACTTAATTATTTTAAATAAACAATTTATTATGCACATTTGAAATATCAATAAATAAACTTCAGTATTTAACAGGTGAATATGTAACAAAATAAGTGTAAAGTAAATAAAATACTTTACCGACTCCATTCATAAACTTGTCTTTAGTCATTTGGTAAAAAAATAAAAGTGTTCAAAAATTAGACTCTCATGGCGCATAAAACAAATGATATGCATACGAGAAAAATATCAATAATGATAAACAAAAAATAATTTAGAGCTTATCAAGTACTGTAGTTTTACAATGGTTGGGCGACGCCTTTGGACAGCAATGGTCCCTCTTTGTGTAGGTACATCGCAGGCCACACTACATAGTCAATGATGTGTCCGGATTTCGTATATGCTTTGAATGTTTCATGTTTTAGTTCTCTGCTCTCAGGAATATCGACACTAAGATGTACAGGCGGCTGTGTTGACTGCATCAACCAACATAATTCTATACAGTGGTCAGCAAACTGAGTTGTCTTGGGGAATCGCTCTATCACGTGGCTTGGCTCCAAGTACAACTTTTCAATGCTATCCTTGTCAAGCAAGAAACCCTCTCGAACATAATCTTCGTAACGGGGTCTTAAAAAGTCTCCTCGTGCCGAATCAGCTAATCTATTTCTGTATTTGTCGTGACGGCTGCGTGCAGTTTGCTTTTCTTTCCCTGGTATCACACCTTTACTGTACGTGTTATTACAATCTACCACACTACATCCAGTAGAAAAAGATCTCTTGAATTTGGGTTTCAAGACATTGTGTTCTGCTGGAATGTTAAAATCTCTATTGACCTTATGCTTCTTTTGTTCATCTTTACTTTCCTTCTTGTCTGATTCCAACTGTTCTGATTGACGATCTACTGGTGCCATTTGACAGTAAGCTTTTTCATTTGTGGTGACTCGTAACATATCTGCCAAAATGTAGCGAAATCTCTGGAAATTGAAAATATTAAAAATTTAAAAAGACTCTTCCTTTGGTGGGGCACTTTCTATGTATGTGACTAAATTTAAAAACAAATTTGATCAGACTTTAACAGATAATTTAAAGAAAAATTATGTTTATTAAATTGATTCTATATGGCAATTGCCTTGCCAATTGACAAAAAGGCATATAAATGTAACTAAAAAAAGAATTTTAAATTCAATAAATGTTCAATAAACATAAGGTACACTATCCCAAACATTCTACATAAAGCAACATGCATGTACATTGAATGTTGTTTTAATTTTCTTTTGCATGGATTACCATTAATAATTTAGATATCAATTAGCATTAACAACTTGTAAAAGAATATAGTCTAGCTGCTTGCATTGCGCAAAATACATGTATTTCCTTCGATTTCAAAATTCGTTCTATGAATTAAAATCTGAGCGATAATTAGGGGTATTTCTACAATTCATTTTACAATTCACAAAATAAATTAAGCACATATTGTATTCAACAACAGCTAACCTTCTGCGTTCTGAAGATAAGGTCTTTTTGTACACCATGACTAGATCTTTTGACGGCTCGATCAACATCCAATTTTGCTGCATCTGGTAATTGTATTTCATGCAAAACCTATAGGATTTGTAAGTTAAAAGCAAGATACAATTCATCAGATTAATGCATGTACCTTCAAGAAAATCTATTTTTTACCGTTATATCAATGATCATCTAATGTCCAATATAAAATGCACTGTTAATTTGGAAATGTGGACAAAAATCTATGAAATCTAAATTGATGCATTTTTCCAAATAAAAATTTTGTTAATCTTGTTGACAGTTTTAAATGTTATTATAAATTTGAACTTAAACATATTATTATTATGACAATTAACCAGTCGATTGTTTAATAGACTTTGAAATGTTTATTCTGTAAAACTCGATTTGGAATATACATGTTTTTGATTTCAGACATGAATTTGAAGGCAAAGTTACTATACTGTGACAATTAATATATTTAAATACTATTTAACAATTGTTTGGTTGTTTTTGTACATATCTTCAGGTCTGCTGTTCTTAAAATGTGCTTATAAAAGAATAAAACGTCACAATATTCTAAAATATTTTCCATTATTTTATTAACTCTGGATATTAATTAGATGTTTCAGGAAAAACAGTCACCAATACCAAAACTGAATATTGTGGTTTTCATATTTGCATTCTTAGAAACAAATTCTTAAATAAACTTTGTACATCACAACCACCTTTATAAACTACAGCATGGTATGTTTGCTATTTTCATCTTAAATTTCATACTGGAAAGAGAGTATCTACCATGACTTCATTAAATGCACAGAGTATGACTTTCTTGTCGTGCATCTAAAAAACCTTTATTTATAAAGGCCTTTTTATCTTATTTTCGTTAAAAACGGTCAGGCATGGTAGTTTAAAAAAATCTCCTTTGAAACAAATATAATCATATACAAAGAAAGATAACTTACTTCCAATTTGACAATATCACACCAACGAAGATTCCAACAGCCCTCTGCGTTAACAAGTATTGTTTGTGATCTTGAGCACAAATGAAAAGCAGTCTGAAAATAAAAACAAGCCAAAAAAGTAAAGATCAACAAAAACCTTTTTTTTAAATTAATCATTTAAATTTTTAAAATAAATGAAATTTTACCATAACTAAACGCTGAAGAAAGCTGATAGCAGCTTTTTCATCTACTTCAAAACTTGTTATTTCTTCTAGGGAGTCCGTCCAGTCGTCGTCGTACAACTGACTGAATTTCTCGGCCAGTTTAAGTGGACGATTTTCGTCACTGAGGTCCGTAATGGCAGGGTTATTACTCGTCAGCTTGGACCCTGCAACCTCGCTTAGTCTAAGATAAAATGTTCACTTTTGTAATGAGTTAAGTAGCTACCCAAGTTATACTGAATATACTGAACTTGGTTAGGACTGTTTACGCTTTAAAAACCGCGAAGCAGTCTTTAAAAAGCGACGTTTAATAAAGCCTAGATTATTCCAACCCACATTCTGCCAGTGTTACTTGGATAGCTTTTCATTTCATTCCTTATAGTAATTTAAAATTCCCATGATCATCCAATTTAGAAAATAATACAATTTCTCCTTCAAAATGTCTTTGATAATATTTCTAATAGAACATTCAGCGGATTAATACGTTTATGACGCCAGTCCATAAGAAGTATGCAACACAGGTTACACTTTTTGTTTATCGAATCAAATGATGCGCTACAAACGAAGTTAAATTATTTTTCTGACATAAAAGACCTAGGTTCACTTTATGCATAAAATGGTCCTCTCCTTACATCAATTAATTGACTTTCACCCTCTGTCCCATTTCATATATCAAAATAAAGTAGAAACTTGGTGCGTTTGTTTCCTCTAATAAAACTTCTTTTTGAGATTCACGACATTGGAAAACAGGCTTTGAGAAATTGCAATGTTTCTTGAAATTTGCAGAAAACATGCGTATTTGACTACCTTCAGCAGAGAATTAAAATATGATCACAGCCCAAGATCCAAAAAATAAAACATGATTTTTGTTCTTCAGAAACAGATCTTTCATTATGTAATTGCATATTTTGGATCAGAGGTTGTGCTGTACATGAAATATTGAAAAAGTACTTCAACTTTAGGCCATTTTCAAAAGGAATTTACATAATCTGGGGAAAATTAGGCATTCCATGACCTCATAATGCATTGACTAGAGGAAACATTACGTCATGTACAATAGTTACATGGTCACCAACAGTCCAAGTGATAAATACTGCATTTTTAATTTAAACTGAGCAAATTTGATTTTTCAGAAATTCTCAGGGCCAAAAAAAGGCCCTAGGAAGCTCATGCTCTTTAATTCTTATAGTCAACGAATTAACCATAATTAAGTAGATAAAACGTACACAACTTGTAATTATTAACTGAATACCTTAACTTATTTTTCTACAATTCAAAGAAAATATGTTCAAATATTTAAAAAAAGGATTTTTTCAAGGAAAACATTTGACGCAAATTTGTTTCAGAAGTAAACAATATACAACATACTGTAAACATATTACATTTGGCTGTGTATTTTTTTAGCGCATTTGGCGGAAAGCAAGTTCCGCTAATTCAAGTACAAAGCTAAATGTCGTGTACATATACAAATAAAGAAGAATTTTATGAGATACGCTAAATCAAATTTCCGCTAACTAGTTCAAAATTCAAAATCCGCCAAATATCATACACGCTAAATATAATACCTTTACAGTACTCTCAGTTTATCATTAAGCCCTATTCTTTTTTTCATGAAACATTATATAATAATCTGAAAATATACATCTCCCCAATTATCAAGTATCCGAGAAGAAATCTCAGTTTAAATAATTTTTAATTAAAATTTTAATTAAAAAACAAAGAAACAAATTCACCCTTCCTCGAAAAATATACATATGCAAGGTAAAGAAGTCACTGACTTCTCAGTAAAAATCTTATCACTATTAAAATGTGCCTTAACTTTTATATATGTATTGAATTAAAGGAACTTAGTTTTTTTTTTGTATTTACCTTGTTAGTAATTTTTCTTTCTCTTTTAAAAGGTCTTGATATTTATTGGTAAGTTCTGAAACCTTCGTCCTCTCCACTGCTAACTGATGTTTTAGAGCTGAACAGTCATTTGCTTTCAATTCCCTCCAATAAGCTTCCTTTTCTTTCCAGAAATGGTCTGCTTCTTGTTTTACCTTATCCAATTGTGTTTTAACACAAAGTAGTTCATCGCATTCTTTTGCACGTTGTCTAAAGTGATTGAGGTGAAACAAGAAATAATACATTCAATTATAACTTCACTCCTGATTAATGTCTATTTTTTGTATTGAAACGATAACAGTAATTTCCTCAGTTTCGACATTGTCTTTGCAAATCTTATCGTTAAACTTACTCTTGGAGTTCAACATTTTTCTGCTTCAATTTTTCGAATATATCTTCTAAGCTGAATTAGATAAAAAACAATATCAATAATATTTTAATTATATCACAACTACACTACAAAGTTCTTGAATTCCAATACATTTTGGAAGTAGTTAGAATAAGCCGGTGAAAGAAAGCATACCCTAGTCATATGGAAAGTATTGAAAATTAATTGAGACCTCCAAGTTTTTTTTCTTGCATTTCAATTTTAAAATTTACCGGATTTTATGCACCCCTTCCCTGGTAATATTGGAATTTTCTAAAATATTTATTTGAACTCTCCGATATTTGTGAATTGATGAAAAGTAGGATAAGCCTACATGCAGCCCCCCACCCCGGCGAAATTTCACGTCGAAGCCACATTCCCCCTTTTTTCCCTCAGAATAGAAATTTATTTATTTTAATTGGCTGCATGCCAATTGGCAAATCTAAAATCGAAGATTTTGATAACGATTACAGGGATATAAAAAACATCTTTAATAAAACCAAACAACGTCTTGAGAATAAAATTACTATATTAAAATATCTTTATTAATACAGAAATCTAGGTAATAAGATATTACAGCCCTCGCCTCAACTACTGGCAATTATGTAATCTTATTTACATAATAAAATATTGATTAAATTAAATTAAATTAACTACTGGCTTTAACCAAGACAAAGTCCCATATTTTACTAAATAAATAATCAGATAATGTACATCCTAAAATGCAACATAAACGCGATTTTGATGTGATAGAACTTGCAGTTTCTTTGGAGTGGACTTCTCGATGAAGTAACTCGATCATTCAGAGAATGTAATTCAAATCAAGCATCTGTAGCAGGTTAAAAAGATTTATTCCCTGATGCAAATGCATATAATTTATGTAAGTTTGGTTCAGATAGACTTCTACAGTTTTTGATTATAGACCTGCTCAGTCATTTGGAAAACGTGAGTGATCAAAATCCAGCATCTGAAGCAATAAAGTAGTGTGCATCATGAGATTCATTGTAAGATTATCATCCGGAAGATCAAGGTTTGGTTCATTCGACCAAGCAAGTCCAGAAGTGCACGTCTTTAGGTGTATCATCTATTCAAGTTTGGTCAACATAAACATAGTTACTTTGGAATGAAGCTGCTCCAAAAAATTAACATGATCATTCATCTGGAAAATTTACGTCAGATTTAGCGTATGAAACAAGCCTGACAATGCGCATGATATATGTATACATAATTTTTACAAGTTTGGTCAACACATGACTTATACTGTAGTTACTTGGAAATGAGGCCTGCTCCAAAAACTTTAATCTGCCTCAAAAACCATAACATGCCCTAATTATAAATGCATGCCATTACGTCGCTGAAATTGCAGCATCTGAAACTTTGATACAATGAAACATGATATAAGTATCTTCTATGCATCTGTGATGATCTTCTATGCATCTGTGATGAGTTTAGGGTATGGAGGTACTAAGAGAGAAAACTGCTTCCAAAAAATTAATCTGGAATCTTGAGAACGACGCCAACGAGGAGGGTATCACATATGTTTCCCTTAACTTCTTTGATGTGAACAAAAAATTGAATTTTTAAAATGTTTCTTCTTCCTTTAAAGAACAAAAATGAAAATGAAAATTCAAAGAATCATTACCTTTTCATTTTCCTGTGTTCCTCTTTTAAAGTAACATTTTCTTTCGATATCCTAAATAATGAATCAGTCATATAGTTTTAAACTTTTATTTTATCTCTTTATGAAGTCAATTAACGTAGAATAAGAAAGCTGCGACTCCTCCAAATGAGTAGAATGAATTCTCGAGTGGGTATTAAAGAACATACAGACAAAAGTAATCTAGAACAGAAATCTTAAGAAATGACCTTGCAATAAATATAAAATGGTTATCTGACGTCAACTTAGCAATTTTTTTTGCTAAAAGATTAATTAAAAAGTTATCCAATGGCTAATGTTGTTCATTCATTATTTAATAGGTTGAAATGTATACGAGTATATATATAATATCATTGCTACAAAAGTATCGAAACAATTATACTAAATTCTGAGATTTTCAAGGGTATTATATTGTCTTGTTAGTTACCTTTTAAAAACATTGAGAGTTGCAATAAAAGCATTTATTATCAAACATCAAGTAGACATGTACACTTAAAAACTTGAAACCTGGGTCGAAGAGGAACGCAATTCTACCAACATTTAAGAAGAAATTTGGCCAGTTTTAATCAAAAATATCAATTCGCGTTTAGAAATGTAAATTTAGTCTTTTTCTGTTCATTATTAAATAAAATGAAGCAACGGGCATGTAACATGTATTACATGTGTATTCGTGCTTATACTGAATGATGCAGAATGTCACGTCAAATATAAATCTTTTTGCTATCTTTTGCAAGACATTCAAATAGATATACAATGTATATATAAGTTACCTTTGATATTCAACGGCTGTGTCGTATAGGCTGTCGAGGAAAAATCTAAAATGATAGAATAAACTTAACTATAAATTTCTATTTTCAATGACATTTTGAAAGCAAAACAGAATATCACTAAATGTAATATGAAATACTTACGGTAAAGCATTCACTGGATCATTCTTAATTTGCATTCTTACTTTTAAGTCTAAATGAAGCCATTTCCTTAATTTAACGGAAGTGGGTTTTCTGAAATACCATTAATATATGCGTTTGCGCAGTACTCTATTAATTCTTATTATTTTCAATTAACTTTCTTAATTATGCAAAAAACCTAAGAATTCTTTATTCTCTTTTGAATAATAATCTTTGAATGATTCTTAATATCTGAAGTTGGACATTTATATTCTTTTTGATTTTATTTAATATTACGAAATCTTATTTTGTTTTAAAAGACATTGAAAAAATAAGCATTTTATAGAAATAGTTTGTATATGTATAACCTTTACAAAATGAACTCACATATTCTCACTTCCACCACATAATACGGCAAAATGTAATGGAAAATAATAATTAAATTTTCTAATGTTTTATTGTTTACAAAATATTTTACAGACCTTACCCATTAACATTTGCAAGTTCTTCGGATAACTCCACTATCTTGTTCTTTTCAACCAAACAACTGTTCATTTTTTCAAAAAGTGTCCTGAATATTAAGAAATGAAAAAAAATTCATAGGTTGGAGGCACGACTTTCATATTACACTTCTGTAGCTCTTGTGAAAAGACCTTTTTTTGACCAACATATTTGCCCTCTTGACATTGAAATTTGTTTTCGTAGGTGGGGATAGAGCGTCTGCTCTAGAGTCGTGAAGTTAAGACTTAATCCTTAAGTCGCAGGCTCGAATCCCAACGTGAAACCGGTCCTTCGGGTGAGACCGTATAAATAGAGGTCCCGTGTTGCAGTAGGTGCTGGCACGAAAAAGATCCCTCACTGCTCAATGGCCTTAAGTATCGAGTTTAGGACAAAATTTGCAGCTCTCCATCGGCAAGTGGTGGCTTTTCCATATGAAATAAAAATTCTCGAGAGGGACGTTAAGCAACATACAATCAATCAATCACATTGGTGGATCCAAGAAAACTTCACTATATCCATGAGTAAAATTAGCATCATGGCAATGAAAATTAAACAAGAGCACAAGAAGTACAATACCGGACCTGTATTCTTAACATAGAATAACACAAGATGAGTATAATGAGTTTCATAAACACTGATCAATTCATGAAATTAATTAATTTTTCTATGTTTACACACAGCGGGGAGGGTTCGGAAGGTTACATCCATTTTTGGTCTAAAACTAATTACTGGATTTTCAACAAAAAGTTTTTCATCCTGCTATAAGCCTGTAGGCTGTCATTAACTGCTAGTAGAAACTACAAGACTGGTTAATTTTAGTTGTTATACGGGTACATTCATGTCTAACAAATATCTTTCAATGTATCAGCTAGTATTTAAAACAAGTCAAAACTCGGATAAACAAAATTAATAGGAATTTGTTGTTGCGTAATATTAGAGCTAGAATTTTTGTGCATACATTAATTGAAGGTGAAGATAACAGTGATCAATTTCAAAAGTCTACAAACCATAGAAATCTAAGAAAGGGCATTAATGGATCCCCAAAATTTTCAGCAATTAGATTAGATGTCTTGGGAGACTAAACCCATACATATAGTAGACCTAATGAACCAGGCCATGCAGCAAATAGGTAAAAAAAAAAACAACAAAGGACTGAAAACTGAAGAAAAAACAAATCAGAATAAATGATAGGTTATTTGTGCTATCTTGGTGCATCAAAAGAACACAGATTTAAAAAATGCTGGGATTAATGGAGTTGTTGAAATCCCTGTAACATCAAACTATCTGTATGTAGCTGCATCGGATTATAAAGTGATCGCGCTTTGGAAAATGGAATAAGAAAACTGAAGCCAAAACAAGGTACTAGCGGAATATTTCAATATAAATAAAGAAAGTTTACAATATTTGAAAAGTCTGAAGTCACTTCGTTTTTCATACAAGTTTGTCGTTCATGTGTCTTTGATAGTCATTAAATATTACATATGATACATACGAGGGGCGTTCAATAGATAATGTCATCAGGGCTCGGAATGAACCAAAAAGACGTTTTTCTATGATTTTGTCTTAATGATTTAAGTAAAATATTTTCTTTTAATTAAAACACATGTCCGTAATATTTTTATTCAATTTCTGATTGTTTTTAGAACACAGTTTTGAGTATGACCCTGCGTATACTGGAAAATGGCAAATCCTATGATTTGCTGTACTTATTTTTTATTTTCTGAAAGGTGTTTTCCTAAGTTTGGGAAATGATCGAAACAAGTCAAAGATTAAAAGATCTGGCGAATATTGTTGATGTGACAAAACATTAACTTTCTATTTGCCCCAAAACTCGTTTACTCTTCATGGCCCGTGGGTTTAGACGCTGTCAGGAAGAAATTTTATGTAGTGAAATCCTCATTCTGTTTCCTTCCTCTCATAAACCTTTCAATGTTTTCGCAAATATTTTGCTTACTAGACTTCTCCAGAAATTGAACTACCTCCCTATATATTAATTTGAACAACAAGACCGCTAATATTTAAGAAAATAGCGTATAAAACTGATTTTGTGTTCTTGAAAAGTTTTGCTCTTCTTAAGCCTTTGCAGTTTTGTCAAGTACATATTATTCTAAATTTATTTTGAGGGTTTAAGTCAAAATGGATTCAAGTTTCATGATCTCTTTGAATTTCAGAAAAACGTGTACAAGAACAATTTTTGATTTTTTAAACATAATTTAATTGTTTAGATTTTCTACACGCTCTCGTTTTCACTCATTTTTGAAAATATAGGGTGACCGTTGAGTATGAAACTTTTTTACAATCAAATGTTTCTTTAAAACAGTGTGAACTACCCCCAGAATGATGTCTATCAAATTTTCTTTTTAACTTAAAGTAAAAAAAACATAATCAGTGATAATTCGTTGAATTATCACTAGTATACATTGGTTGTTGTATGTACTTGTTGCCAAGGACAGTACCCATTTTTGATGCCCATTATATAATTTTTGTTAATTGAAATCCACCTGTTCATGCGTGTATGAAACAGACATAAGTTGCTGTAAATGTCAAATATTTCAGTTAATTGATTTTTGGGAAATTAACAAGTTTTACAGCAGCTTTTATGATGCGTTTAATTTTACTCCAGTTTACTGATTCTTGACCATTCATTTTTAATGCAGTGTCTCGAGTAGCCCTTGTTTTCCAGCTTCCCACAATGTAATTATGCGATGAAAAGTGGTCAAATGAACTGTTATCAATCCATTAAAGATTCAATAATTAGAGAAAGTCAAGCTTAATGTCATATGATTTCTATGTTGTATGTCATCGAGCTGATGACATTATTTATTGAACGCCCCTCGTATATGTCAGTCTCCCTTGCGTTCTTTATTTCAAGTTAATGCAGAAGTATGTACATCGGGTCTCTATATGAAATAAATTTAAGGTAAGAAATTTTTAATACAATACCTTTGAAGTTCATCTGATGTAATTCCCTGTTGTATATATAAATCTTGTGATGGTGTATTTTTCAGAATGAGATCATCAAAGTTTCCATCCCCCACTTCACATAGATAATATATTTGATCAATATCAGATTTCTTCTCTCTATAACATTAAAAAGTGTAGATAACTTTTAAATACATTAGTACAATTAACAAAAACCAAAACAAAGTGTACAAATATATAATATGGCTATGAATAATTTTATTTGCAGACCTCATGAACGCAAGAAATAGCCTTTTTTACTTATAGTTCGTTTGTTTTTCAAAAACATTTGTAAAATGATTGCTCAATACATGTACATGTATATATTTTTTTATTCAATCATCCATTCATGATCAATATGAGGCAAAGAGAAACTAGGAAAAAACTGCTTTATCGTTTATACCAAGAGACTCACTACAGTACTAGCGATCCCCACCTCACCATTTTCATTGAGGAAAGACTCCATTGTCATCTTTATATGTTTTATGTAGGTAGATTAATATTTATGATATTTTTCTCATGTTATATTTTCTCAATATAACACTACTGTACATTATATTACTATTTTAAAGTTCAGTATATATACTTTTATTTCAATGCAGTATTAATAATGTTAAATGTTTTTTTAAGCATGGTAACTTACGCAATGGCTGCTTCAATCTTTTTTCTGTACAATTGATAACCAGCATAAAGTTTACAGAAATGTCGCAGACCTTCTCTGTGTGAAATAAATAAATAAATAAATAAATAAAATGATTATTATAAGCCCATATGTTATTGAGATAATGTTTTTCATACTAAAAGAAAACAAGAAGTGCCCAATTCATCTCCAGGTGTTGAATCTTGCAAATATAGCCTGAAAGAAGAGTACAAATAAACTTTTAAGACCACTTCAGTTGTAAAAAGAACTGACAAACCTGTATGGTACTTCCCGTGATGAGGTATATTTTCTCCATTGCGTTGGAAAATTCAAAATCCATGAATTAAACCCGCTAAAAAGGAAACATTTTTTCTCAAATTTCATTGATTTAACTACTCTAAACATACATGTAAGATCATTTAAAAACATAGACCAATAATTAGAAAAACAGGGAAAAACATTAAGAGGCTGCAAATTCTTACTAAGAAGTTGTAAAGTGGTCTAATATTTTCACTTGAAATAAAACATATGGAGATAACGAACCATTTTTAAGATCAAAAGTCCATAAAATAATACAAAATAGGAGGAGAGGAAACAAGTACCTCCGATACATCGATCAGATGTGGGATCAGGTGCCATGGAGGAGTGAGCATCCAGTGCCGACCGGTCACAGATCCTTGTCATGATCGGGAAATAATGGGAAAATCCATTGTCAATTCAGTGTAGAGACAATGGACTAACAATAAGTATGAAAAACGTCAGTCAGCATTTGACTAAATGATAAATTGTATTTGCTGACAAAGTCATTGTATCGACCTTAGAACTTACGAAATCACTTTATACGAGACTGCTGATATTCTTGTTTCATCAACTTGTTTATCCATAATTTATCTCATTTTACGTAGAGCATGCTATAGCGTATCGAATCAACTGAGATATATACACCCCGTGTGCAGGTGATGAAGGTATATTGCTGCATGTCAAGGAAGTTGACAATTAAAAAAGTTAAAGCCATCACGTTAATCCTAGAGCTTGGTTGTTCGATTACCATCAACGTGTTTCTCAAGTAAAATATCCAAATATGGAACAGATGTGTCAGACACTTTGGTATCTTTCATCGCAAGCTCACCAGGATATATCGTATTGGCATAAGAATTTAATGGAAATTACAATTTGTAATTGACAATACGTTGCCAGTGTAAGGAGATATAGTCCTGGCGTCTTTTCCTTATGCGAGTTTTATGATACCGGGTATTCTGCTTTTAAAGTTATACATTACATTAACTTAACAATATGAAAATAAAAATATGCACCTTTAAAGGTAGATAGTACATCTAATAGTACTTTGTCATATAAATTTAATTCATTACATTCAATAAAACTTTAATCGATCAGGTAATCCTAACAGGTATACAAAATGAATAAATTACTTGAAAATTACACAAATATATTTTTTTCCTAACTCACCTTTCGTCGTAACCAGCTTTCATTAATGAATAACTCATTGCGTTGTCCATTTTCCCTTATGGCACCTCCTGCTACGTTCTATGTTGCTTTTAAAACGAAAGTTGGGGGTATAATTATATCAAAAGAAAATTTTATTAAAATATTAAATTAAATTATTATGTTCACATAAATGATTAAGTTTTAGTGAAAATCATAATACTTTACAAATAGAAAACAATGTCCTATTAAATATGATTGTCAAGTTTTCTTCGCTTTGTATTTTGCAGAAAAAAAGTAGGGAAATAAATAAGTGATTGTACTGTACATAAATAAATTGTAGCAGTTATAAAATATCTTATTCAGAAATTGATATGAATGTTTGCATTATCAACAGCATTTCATTAATGATAAATTAAGATAAAAAGCCTTACACGACTCACCCGTCATATATGGAGAACTTATCACAAAACTAAGAAAAATATATACTCTGACGTAGACAACTTCCTGTTAAATATCGATCGAGGGTCTGTACAGGTCTGTCGGAAGGGTACTTTTTAGTGAACTGAATGAGTTTAAATTTAAAAGTCAAAAATATGACAATGTAACTTGAGTAATATTTCAGGTGTTTTCAAGAGCAAGAAATTCTTTAATAAAGTTTTTGATTTTTAAATATTGAAAAAGATACTTTGATATCAGTAAAAGTAAATTGATTTGTTTTTACTTTAACACCATTTGAGAGTATTTTTGTGTAACAAAGATATGTAGTAAATATGTTTACAAAAACAAGATATCTATTAAATACATATGTATAGGAATCAAAAAATATGGAGATAACGAACAGTAAGGAAGGATGAATTAAAGTAAAATCTATTACTTAATAAGTTTCTCACATAAACTTAACTTTGTTTTGATTGTTTTGTTTTGAACATATTTTATTGACAACATGTCAAAGGGATGGGACACAACTTAACTTTAATATTATATAGGGGTACTTGTCTCCTGACACTTGAGGTAAAATGTATTTTTTCTCCCTTTTATTATTCCTTACCACAGAACAACCAATTTTCTTGCAAATTGCATTTAAACAAAACTGTCTTGGCTCTCTTCAAAAGAAACAGGGCAAAATACAGACAACATTAGTACCTTTATTGAACTTTGGACGAAGAAGACTGATAAAGAAATGATTAAAGCGTTTCATTCTTCCAACAGTTTAAAGATATTGTTTTCATATCTCTTTCTGGTCATTTATCATTCATTCTTTATTTACTAAAGCATTTCTAATGAAACTGTCCTTTTAGGGGGATTCTTTCTTACGTAAAAACTTGTCTCATAATCTTAAAATCAATGTCTTCTTAGATAATAGAATGTCCTATTGAAGTTTAAAATGTGTTTTATAAGGATCATAAAAGTTTTCTTAATACGATTAATCTTGAGATATAATACTAGTATTATATCAATCTATTTCAAAATGATTCGTATTATATCAAACATCTTTTGTTTTCCGTCGTCGATTTTATTTCATAAATGAAGTCACAACATGTAAAAATTGAACAGTGCAATATCATGTAATATAATGCAATATTGTGCAAATAGAATATGGAGTCATATTTGTTTTGTAAAAAAAAAATATTGACATTTTAACTCGGTCTTATGGTGTTTTTCTTATATAAAAATACAAATAAATTACCGGTAAAGATAAAACGCATTAAATAGATACAGAGCTTAAGGTTGCCAACTTCCCATATCAATACTGATGAAATTTACCTACTAATACCATATGGCTCTCTAGAGTAAAATTTAAATTTCAAAATTTTTTGTTAACTTTATTTTAAGGCCAGGACATAGTTAAGAGAGATCAAGATCTTGTGAATACATATACAATGGAAATATATGTAAAACAAAGCAGGTATTCTTTATACAACCAGGTTTTACATACAATTCTTTTGTTTAAAACATACGATTTTGTACATATTGTGTAATTATGCTGATTCCCAAAACTTAAGCCCTTGTTACGCCATATACAATAAGTGAAATGTTCAAAAATCTAAGATAAAAATAAATGCCTTGAAAAATGTTTTCGTTGAAAATATTATGCAACTATACATTTCAAAACAGTTTTCATGTAAATCATATATATATATATATATATATATATATATATATATATATATATATATATATATATATATATATATATATGCGGATAACAATTTTAATGCACTAAATGCGCATATCGACAAATCATGTTTCTTTAATGATGTTCATGCCGAAACGTTGGAAGTCCGAGATACTGTAAATCACTTTTTATTCGCGAGAACTTTATTTTCGCGTAATTACGCGAGACATTATGCTCGCGAAAATTTCATTCTCGCATTTAATAGTATTCCCTAAGATTATACAGAGCAATGACCACAAATCGTGAAAATTTTGTGTCGCTAATAAAGAGTCAATGACTATCTCGCTAAAATAAGGTGTCGCGAAAATTAAGTGATCTACAGTATATGTTTTAAAAAACTTGAAAGATAAAAAAACCCACATTGGATCTTTTTTTTATATATATTTTTTATATATAAATATGTAGAAAACTTGTTAATTGGAGGAAGTAATAATAAATATAGTTTACATGCATCTCTTAAATAAGTGCTGAGTCACTTGAATACTGCTTTAAGATTAAATAAAAAATCATTACTCTGGTTGTGCTACTCCTTTCGAAAGTAATGGTCCCTTTTTGTGCAAATACATAGCTGGCCACACTATATACCTAATTGTATGTCCTTTCTTAGTGTATTCTTTGAATATATCTGTTTTAAGATGTCCGTTTTCTGGAATATCAGCGTCCAAATGAACAGGTGGCTGGACTGATTGCATAAGCCAACAGAGCTCCAAACAGTGCTCAGCAAATTGTAATGTCTTAGAAAATCCTGTCGATATCAATTCAAATTCCGATATCAATTCAATTTCCAAAGGCTCAGAAAATAGTTCTTCAACATCTTTTTTGTCTAAAAGAAAACCTTCCTTGACATACTTCTGATGGCTAGGCATAGAAAAATCACCTCTTGCCGAATCCACAAGCCTATCTTCATCCGTTTTACGAATTTTTAATGGTATGACTGTATCTGAAGATAACACCTTTGTTTCTCTTACGTCTGGAATGGGTTCAGAATCACTGTGCGTCTGGTTCTTACTATCTACGACTTCATCATTGTTAGTTTCTCTGTTTCCTTCTTCTTCCATCTCATCTTGTTCATTTAACCTTTCCATCTCTTTCTTGAATGCCTGACCACAATTTCTTTTCTTTGAAATGTTGAGCAACATCCCTTTTACTACACGTAAGAATTTCTGAAATTCATCCGTAAGATTCAGGGGTTAATTGGAACAATCTAATATTTAGAAGTTTAAAAGAATTGCATCACATTTCATCATTAAAAATTTAATCATGGATAATTACCTCCTTTGTTGCCGCGATGATAGTAGCCTGTCTAGAAAGTTTTAGTCGTTGTGTGACATTTTCTAAAGCTATTTTTTCTTCCTCTGCTAATTCGATCTTTCGTAGCGACTAAAATAAAAAAAAGGTATTGTTTTGTATTATATAAAAAAATAAATCATAGCTTATTGTTCCAGGCGATGTAAGTTATCAGTTCAACGATTACTTTCTTTTCTTCTGTTTACCTCCATTTTTATATTTTCATCACACCATAATAAATTCTTGCAATCTCGTAAATTGATGATTATTGAGTTGGATTTGTGGCAAAGATGAAATGCACTCTGTAAAAATAAAAAATATAAATTATTTCTTTAATAAAAGAATCTTTTTCAATGCTTAAAATACAATGACAATTGTAAACCTACCATAGTTATACGTAGTAAAAAGGCAACCGATGGAACCTCATCCAAGCCGATATTCATGATTTCTTCAAGAGAATCTGTCCATTCGTCGTCATACAATTGTCCAAATTTTTCTGCCAGTTTTATAGGTCTGTTTTCATCACTAAGATCTGTTATTGCTGGGTTGTTCGTTGTTAATTTTGAGCCGGCTACTTCACTTAGTCTAAATATATACTGTTTAATCTAGTTTCGTTTATCATGCTTGCAAAGGGTATAATAGCAATTGTTAGCGTTGCAAAGTATTAAAAGAAGTTTTTTTTTAAAAATGCTTGTCTCTTAAATTAATAATTAACTCTGCCTTTATTCAAAGCTTGACAAGATTTTAAAAATATAAGAAAAAAATATATAAAGGTCTTGAAAATAAAGATATCTTGTTTAGAATCAATTATAACATGACGTATTTTCTGGAATATTGAGGAAATACATGTACATGTACGAGCAACATTTTATTAATTTGCTTTAGATATATACACGTATTATCTCCAATTTGAAACACTCAAATTAGTTTCTGAATATGTATATGTGTCTATTCATTGATAAACTTGAATTATTTAATTTGATTTTTACCCGAGGTAAATATTTTATCTATACAAATATATATATTTAATATACCCATTCAATTCACTGTAATACGTGTAAAAGATATATTTCAAAAATTGTATATAGCGTTTAAAGTAAGTTTTCTTCATCATAAATTAAACATACAAAAATATTTTAAAAACATTTTTCCTGAAAATACTAACTGGGTAGAAACATTTTCTAATGACAGTTTGTGACAAAGATTTCTCAATATATCTATTATACATATAGATATCACCTAGTCAATAATCGTTCTTTCTCCTTGAGTAAGGTTTCCTTTTGAGTTTTCAAATCATCAGTAATCCTTTTCGCATGTAGAAGTTGCTGTTGAAGTGAAGTGACGTTTGTCGCGTGCAACTGGTTTCGGTAATCAGTGTTCAGTTTTTGAAGTTGCTTCACTTCTATCTCCTTCTCCTTCAACCTTTCAGTATAGTAGTGAATGGCCTCTTCTTTTGCAGCACGGTCCCTTTGTTTAATTAAAAAATATTCTATGACATTCATGATTTTTTGTGATTCATTTTTTTTTTTTAAATTTTCTTTTTAATACCTTTCTTATTCAGTTTAAATATTATTTAAAAAAAACACCACAGTTTGGTATATATTGCAATTGGTAAAGTACTTAGGTGAAAATACTACTCTTTCGAATGGCAAGTTTACAATGTTCCTAGCGGTAGGCTTGCCAGTCATATCTTGAAAATCTCAAAAACAAATAAACTTACTGTTGAATCTCAACATTTTTCAGCTTGAGCTTTTCGTTTTCTTCTTCCATTCTGTGATGGAATGAAATGAATTTATATATTTCGTGAGAGAGAAAACTCTTTCCAAAATATTTTTCCCTCATAAAAAGCAATTATTTTCGAACTTATATCTTGGAATGCATTCGAATGGAGAATACAATATACACAAAGAAAAATGTCCTGACAATGTGAAAATTTTTATACATTAATTGGAATGCTCCCTGAAAAAAGTTGAATTTCCATATATTTTGGGTGCAACTTTTAAATTCATAACTGAAACAAAACTTAAACACAGAAATCATATTAAAGGATATGGACACAGTTTCAGCTAAATATTTTCAAATTTAACTTTCCATTTTAGAAATATTTAATCTTTCTATTGAACAGCAAAAATTTGAAACTCAGTTGTCCAGATACAAGATTAAGAGCTCGAAACCTTTGTTATGTAAACACGGTCCGTGTCAAGTTTTTGTTAAAATAGATTAATACACTATTATATGTTCGTTCAAACCAGATAATTTCAATAAAAAATTAATTCTACATACGATTAGACAATTTCTAGTGATTAAATAAATAATATTTTGTTATATTTTATGAGATTTTCTTTATGTAAACAAAAACAAAGCATGAACCTTGTTTACATTATGAATAACTTTACGTTCTGTATCTCTTTGTTAATCAATAAATGATGTTCAAATTTTTGCTGATAATAAGATGAGGCCTTAGTAAGGAATTGTAAACATTAAATTTTTTTTTTTAAAATAAGCCATCTAAAGTTTATTTGCGGTGGAGAGTCCCAATAAGACTATTCTGCAGCAGGATAAACCCCTTCATTTACACAGTATACACTTTACAGACTTCAATAAGGTAAGGTGTACATGCATATATATCTTACCCTAGACTAATTTAATAGCCTTATCCTTTTATACCTTTTTTTCATTTCATATATGATTACAAAATTCAAATCTTGTGTCAATCTTGATAGCTTAAAAATGCTTCAAAAATTCACCAAAGGTATCAATATTAAGCGTCATAAATTGCATGATTTGTACATGTAATAATATAAAAGATTAAATGTAGTATCTATATTATATAACCTTTTGTATAGGTCCTCTTGAATTTGAATAATGTTTGGTGCTATCTTCTGGGGAGTGGCCTTTTCTTTTAAAATTCTGAAACAAATAAATGACTTCAACAGGATTTCAATCTTCAAATCTTACCTGGATTTATATAGCTTATTAACTGTTTTACTATATAAGTGTTCGTGGATGAAAACCATAATTCAATCCCATTCCCCAAAGACTGCAATAAACTTACAGAAATCATTTCCCACGATTTCCTTACCGTGTAATCGTAATTCTATTTTGTCTTTGGGGCATTAGAACTGAGATGAGCCCGTTTTTGTGGAGGTTTTAATTTTTTAAAGATGATAAGACTAGTGTAGAAATAACAAAGAGATTTAAGAATGAGATTTAAAAAATTATATGCAAAGCAATATATTTTAATACTTTAAAAATATTTTAAAAATCCCAGTTTTTATGTGAAATAAATTCCATGTTCAGCTACAAAACATTGATTTTTCTGTTAATTATAGGCTACACTTTCTTTGCCTTTTATATAGTCTAGATGACGTCATAGTCGATCAATTGAAACGTCAAAGCTAATCGATGTGAGATTAAAAATAATATAAACATGGAGCAACTTTGGAAGAAATTTTGCATTTTTATCTTTGTCAGAAAAATTTAATTAGTACTTTCTTTTTCTAATAACTTTATAACAGACCAAGGAATATTTTAGTACACTTCGTAATTTCCTTTCACTCTGTCACAGAATACGGTATCATTTTTATTCAATAAATAAATTACAGTATTTCACAATCGAAAATGTAATAAATCCTCTAATCTAATCCACGTAGAAATCCATAAAAGATATCAAGTTTTGTTACTAGCAGCTTCTGAATTCAGGACCCTTTACAAAAAATACAATTTTGGTTTGTCATTTCAAACTAAACATGCATTGTTACAACGCACTTTGAAAAATTACGCACTTTGAAAAAGATTTTCAAAGTGCGTTAAATTCTGTTACAAATGCCACAACGCACTTTGAAAAAATAATTTTTTTTTATCAAAGTGCGTTAATATCGACCATATTAACACACTTTGAAAAAATGTGTATGGCTTGGTCAATATTCCTGCAAATCGTATGGATGATAAATAATTGAATTTTTTTGATAACTCTTCGGTGATGAGGTTACTTCAGGATGTGAAAGTGAGTGATTTTTATTTTTCTATGCTTTAAAAATTGCTTCTCTCTTAAATGATTTACTGTAATTTATTTTTTTCCAGTTTGCATGCATTTAATGTAAACTAAATTTACTGAGTTCACTTTCAATTTGCTTAGTTGATAAGTTTAGAATTTTTTTGTTTTATACATATTTTTTTTCAAAGTGCGTAATAAGTCCTCGTGGTAAAAAATGTTTATGTACACTCATAACGCACTTTGAAAAAAAAATTCAAAGTGCATTGACTTTGTCCCAATTTTAACGCACTTTGAAAAAATTTTCAAAGTGCGTAATTTTTTCAATGTGCGTTGCCACAATGCATTCCCAGTCCTACTACATTGGACTTAACTTAATTATGAAAATGGTTGCACTATACCTTAAATGCTCCATTTTAAAGTGATGATACTTTTCCACCAGAACTCTATAACAATAAAACAAATTAAGAAATCAAAACTTAAATGGGATATAAATGTTTACTTAAAAAAATTGAAAATCGAAAGTTAGTAAGATTCCTGAGAAACGTTGGTAAATAAAATGTGATTAGTTTATGTGCGTAATTTACTCTATGATTTTCGAAGGTGGTTCACGGGTAAACACGTGTCTTACATCCTGGGGCAAGGCCAACCAATAATTAAGAGCTAATGTCGGTGGTTTTCTGTGTAAGAAATATAAATAGAAATAGAAATAAAAATTCAATAGCCTTTATTGCAGAACTAGAACTAATTTCTCAAAAGCTACTTAAAATGAAACTGTAACAGTCATGTGTATCTCGTATAACAATGATAGATGCTACTTACAATGTATATTAGATGTTTAAAAGTTTAATATTGTGCAGCATGCCAGGAGAATATATATGGTATCTTCCCTTACCCATTAAATGATGCATGCTCTTCACTTTTACGTATTAGGTCAGTCTTCTCCTTTAAACAATTCCCCAAAACAGTTAATAAATGCCTAAAATATAAAAATGCAACTAACCAAAAAGGGGAGAGAGAGAAGAGAGAGAGAAAACTGAGTAACCATTCTCTCCATCTCATTTTTCTTTTCAAAACAGCTCGCGATATTGTTCAACAGATGCTTCCAGCATAAACAATTACCCCCACCCCCCACCCCACCCCACCCCCGCTGTGTGATTGGTCAACTCACATGGAAATAGTTTGTTGCATGAGCAACCAATCAGGGATTAGAAGAAACTTCCAGTGGTAAAGCTTGCTGTTAGGAGGCGCATACTGTTTACCTAGAGCGCAGTTGTCATCATAGGTTACGACATAATGAAAATCTTCACACTTAACAGAAATTGATAAAAAAATAAACATGTACATGTTTCAATAATTAAAGTTTTTAAGGCGATTGCAATACTTCAGATTGTGTTTATTTTTGATATGAAATAAATATTGTACCAATATAATTCATCTGATCGCAGTCGAGGGCATTCTGGTTTACCCAATAGTTCCACGTTCTCATCAAAGTCAAAGTCATCAAGATCTGCCACGTATCGAACCTGGCGATTTGTTGTTCTCTCGCTGAAAAAAATGTAATACATTAAAACTGGATACCAATGTAGACTTTAATGTGGCCAATTGTTAGCCTCAAAAATCATCTTTTTGTTTCGTCAAGGTTTTTGTATATCCTTTAAGAGATTAAGTCTAGTATTTCCTAATTTGCATTTTAATTTAATGTGTAAAAGTAAGGCTCTCTCAAAGAATTATAACTTCATATTTCAAAAATAAAATGTCCCCATGAATTTTGCGATAGATTTACTTTAAATTTGTTCAAATAGTTATTCCTTGAAATGGAATGGAATCACAATACATGTAAGAAATGCTTTAAAACATAACTGGAATAAGTCAGGCTGATTTAAAAGCTACCCCATACATGAACTGAAATTTTAGTTTTGATTTAAAACAAAACAAAAAAAAAAAAAAAAAAAAAAAAAAAAAACAACCAAGGACAGTAAAGGGGCATTCTTTTTTATACACTAGAACAGTTTTTACTCTTTGATTGTATGAAATCAACAATTGCCACCTTGATTAGTTTTTTTTTAAACAATGCAGTAACTGTTCTGTGCGTTTTAACAAACTAGATAGTGATTCTAAAATAAATCAAAATAAATACAAATGATTACATTTTGCGTTGATCTCGATGCCAAATGTAATATTGCAAAATGTAATAATTATTCTACTTTATTACATTTAGCGTTGCTATAACATTTCGCGTTGTAAAAATGTACATTAATATATCATTGCAAAGTTACCTTATTGCTCTGTCCAGTTCTTCTCCAACTTTCTTATAGCCACCAAGTATGGCCGTAAACTTTCGAACAGTAAGGTGCATTTTACTATAAAATACAATATTTTTGATGTTCAGTGTAATGCAAAACGTTTCATCCTTTCAAAATAAGACTAATATATGTTCATAATGAATTTCATGTTTCTTGATTAATAGAAATCATTGTTTTGAATTGAGGTAACATGGCCTTCAGCATGTCCATTTTTAATGTAAATTTTACTTCAGTTCCCCAATTTTATTTAAAACTTTCAACTCTGCACAGATTCCAGGGGCTTGCTACTGATTTGTATTTCTTTCTAAATACCGTATATACTCGCCTATAAGTCGGTTTTGGGTTAAATTTTGGTCTTAAATTCTATGATAATATCCATTTATAGGCGAGTCATAAAGATCGAGATTGGTATTTTTCTGGATGCTGAAATTTCCGACAATTATTAATGAGAATGTCTAGATATATATGATTATCGATGTATACTTAATAGATTATACATAAAGTACAAGTATTAACATACTTTAATAATTTTTTTTTGGTATCTAAAGTGAGCAAATTTACTTATTTGTTTAATGATAGAAGATTACATATATATCGGTTTAAGGATGACGTTTACTCAGGTTTCAGAAATCAGAGAGGAAATTTTATAAAGTATAATATATTAAACATGTTAAATCAAAAATTGTTCTAAATGGATAAAATAACTAAGTTTTATCTCAATATCAATTTAAAAATTTGATATGTAAGTCCTTGAAGAAAATATACAGGAACAAAACTCAATGTATGGCTATGCAGAGGAAATTCGGACTAAATTTAAAATTTTTCATTTTTGTCAATATTTTTATTTCTTGCAATATTAATCACAAAGTAAAGGTTACATGTATTTTAAGACATCATTTTGCAAATGTTTTATGTGTTTAAGCTCATAAATTATTTCAATTAAATGAATGCTATGAGATAAAGAAATTCAAAAACGTGTACAAAAACCACTGCAGTCAACATATCTCAATAATTTGATCACTGACCCCATATTATATTAATACCATGAGAATGAGGGTAACAAAAGTAACATTAGGCTATAAATAATTTAGAGTTCTTATCAGTCAGATTTTTGCAATATTTGATTAAAAATAGGGAAAAATTATAAATATAACAGAGAAAATTCGGACTGTAATAATTATAACATTTATGGCCCAAACTCTACTCATTTCTTTCTATGGAGAAACTCTTTTCCATTGCTATAATATTTCATTATTTAGAGAGTTTTGTTGCTTGTAATATTTTGTGAGTGAAGAATGAAATGGTCATAGTGTGAAAAATTGAGGTATTTCCCGAGAAATACTCAGGGGCCCCTAGCATGAAAACGAGGTCATTGACCTAGTTATTTGAAATTGAAATTTAACACAAGAATCATAGTTGTACAATGTGCAATAGGTGGTTTTTCGTTCTTATCAGTGGAATTTTTAGTCATCTGAGTAAAGGTATACCTTAACTGGAAAAAAATTATTGAAACCAGGTTAACACGTCAATGGATTAACTTGAATTGTCACCAAATTTTGGCACACAAATGCTCCAACTTATAAGCGGGTCAATGGCAAATCCACCCAAAATAACATCAAACAAGAGGCCCATATCGCTCACCTGAGCATTGTGGCAAGGAAAAAGTAGAAATTAGTTTATCATTGAATATTTTAAATCCAAAAGTAGCCCCATGAACAATCATGGCTTTGCTATTCTTGATAAGAACATTTTAAAAGAATTTTCCTATATATTTCTATGTAAAACTTTGGTCGGTCATTGTGACCCCGCCCTACCCCCGGGGGTCATGATTTGAACAAACTTGAATCTACACTACCTGAGGATGTTTCCCCATAGGTTTCATCTTTCCTGGCACAGTGGTTCTTGAGAAGAAGATTTTTAAAACATACCACCAAATTTTTATTAATTCCCAAATCTCCCCTTGAATGAGGATGTGGCCCTTCATTTGAACAAATTTGAATCCCCTTCACCCAAGGATGCTTTGTTGGAAGTTGGTTGAAATTGGCCCAGTGGTTCTAGAGAAGAAGTCTAAAATGTGAAAAGTTTACAACGACGACGACGACAACGATGACGACGACAACGACGACAGACAACGGACAAATTGTGATCAGAAAAGCTCACTTGAGCCTTTGGCTCAGGTGAGCTAAAAATACAACCGACTTATTACTAATAGGGGAGTATATACGGTAATATATTTGAAATACCTTATTTTAGTACCAATATATGTACTTGTCAATATGGTTTTTAATTTTAAATATGAATACATATTTTTACACGCCGGCGGCTATAGTACCCGTGAACAGATAAAGATAAATTTTATGCCTTTTAATGCTAGACAAGCTGAGCATTGCTGTTTTTATTCTTTTTTGGCTTAATTTGTATAAATTAACTAAAACACGTTCATCGATATTAATTATGTCACTTTTTTAATTAAACGACGGTTTAAAGGGGCTGGGGTTGTGACCATTTTCAGACTATTTTGACCTCCTTTAGAAGAAGAGTTCCATGTAAAGATATAAAAAATGATCAAATATTAAAACTAAAATGTATGAAATTTTTCTCTGCCAAATGATAGTTGACAGCTAGCGCTTAAGATATCATATCTTAAAAATTAAGTTAAATTTGGTGGTTAATTTGTTGACCCCTCAGCCTCCTTAATGTAAACAATTTAACAGAGAAGAGGGGGATTAGACTCACAAGCTCTGATTGCATGTACGTTATAAATTGCATGAAAGAAATTACAAACTTACCCTTGATTCTCCTCATGTTTTTTCCTAAACGCAAACTGTCTCCAAGGAACAGGCAAAGAATAAATAAAGGCTTCAGTTTCACTGCAAATTTGAAATAAAAATCTCAAATACTCTTGAAAATTCACTTTTTCACAATTACTGTAACTATACCCACCTTCGAAACGATCAAAGTAGACATCGGTCCTTTGTTGAACATGCAGGTGCACATTTAAAATTCCTCGCGAGAACTAAATATATGTTTGACATACCTTTCCTTGCTTTAATCTATACAGTATTCCAGATTTTCTCCTTTTTAACTTAAATCAAAGGCTACTTATGACTGATGACTAGGAAAATGTAAAATTAAAAAATACATTTGTAAAACTTACAAAGTAGTTTAACGTTTTTGACGTTTGCCCCCTCCTGAAAAAAAATTGACCAAAAGTAAGGTTTTTTTTATTTAATCAATTTTTTTTTTTTTGCCCATTACATGTATCACATACACCATACAAAACACTGAAATATAGTGTCAGATCTATGTAAAATTAGGGTTTTTTTTGTTGATGGTAGATCCTTTTTTTTAAATGTCAGAAAATGTATATATTACTGTTTACTGAGATTTTTATCTAAAATTTAAAATTTATCTTGAATTAAAAAAAATAATTTCCTTCCCTCCCTCCTGTGTCTGAAACCCTTCAGGCGGCAATTCCAAACAAACAATTTTTTTAAGGATGGCCTTATTTTTCTCATTTTATTTTACTTACTTTGCAGAAAAGAAGAAATTTGGGGGAAATAAAATCTCGGATACGCAAGACAGCTGTTTTTACAAGCGTCCGTTGAAATCTAATCGATCACAAATTACCTTAGCTCTGATTCTGTGACAATTTTTTTTATAGGTATGGCATACGCTATGCTGTCTTCCCTCCCTCCAATATGTGGACTGTATATCTCGTTCTTTGGACCGCTTGTCTACTTCTTTTTAGGAACATCAAGGCATGTGTCCATGGGTCTGTATTACAAATTTTCTCAGAAAAAAATATTATAGTACAGCCTATGTAAATTTCAAATAGAATTGCATGAT